ACACAATGTTACTTTAATCTTATCAAGACTGCTAATCGTACGTAGCATGCTATTTCTTTTCAAAATAGTAATAGAATAATGACATGTTATTGTCTAGCCTAGTAGTCTTGATAAGATTAAAGTAACATTACATGTGTACATCCGACAGACACTACAGCGAAAATCAACTCTAAAATCATAACATATATTGTCCCGGCGTACAAAACCTCAATTCAACATAAAAGAAAGCGAAATTGAGGACTCTTTTCTTTCGAAAAAGATAAAACTTTCTTATATTTTATATCTTAAAACTATACATTCATCTAGGGAAAATTGTCCAAAAAGTCATAAACTTATTGCACTTTTGCTAATTCAGTAATAAACATTTACACTTCTTGCCAATTGAGTCCATCTGGCCAATTTTGGCTGGAAATCGCTGACGTGAATGTTAACCGGCGACATGGCGCTAACGCGAACATTTTTCTTTTTTTTTTCCTTTTCTCTGTTTTTTTTTTGTTGGATTTAGAGTTGGTCGGTGAGGGTGGCTGGCCGACCCTCGCCGGCCACAGGCAAGGGCCGGCGACCCTTGCTAACCCCAGGCGAGGGCCGGCCGACCCTCGTCGGCGCTAGGTGAGGGCTCTTGCACCCTCGCTTTGGCCAGCAAGGGTTGGCCAGCCCTCGCCTGGGGCCAACAAGGGTAGCCGGCCCTCGCCTGGGGCCGACGATTGCTTGTCGCAGGCGAGGGTAGGCCGGCCAACTCTAAACAAAAAAATATAATATAGAAATGGAAAAAAGAAAAGAAAAAAACCATAAAAAAATTTAAAATATTATTTAAAAATATCTACGTCTCGTCACGTGGCCAGCCAATGTCCACATCAGCAATTTCCTACCAAAATTGGCCATATGGACTCAATTGACAAGAAATGTAAAGATTTAAGACTCAATTGACAAGAAGTGTAAAGGTTTATGACTTAATTGGCAAACTTAAAAGGTTTAGAACTGAATTGGCAAAAGTGCAATAGGTTTAGGACTTTTTGGACAATTTTCCCCATTCATCTAACAGTTGGCAGCAGTCCCAATATTTTTCATGGTGTCAAAGCAAGAGATCTTGAATCTACATCTTTCCAAACCCCTATTTGGCTCTCCTACTATATATTGCCGCACTTTAATATGTGAGAGGGAGTGTTGTATTTAAATATGAAAACCGCGCCTCCATATAACGCCTTAATCGTTTGGGTTGGGCTTTCTAACGAATTCGATAAGCAAATTAACAATTCGACTCTTGATTTTCTTTTGAGGGGGAGGGGAAGAAAAACCACCTCAATCTAAGATCAAGATCGAGTGAGGCTTAAATTTGATGAGCAAATTAGAAGAAAATGAGAGTGGTGGTTGCAAATAATCATCAACTCACCAACGTTATTTGGCAGGGCGCACTTGAAGGAAGGAAGGAGTGGATGGGATTTCGTGATCAGTTAAGAGGAGGGCTACAATTAATAGCTTTACGTCCTTTTCAAAATCAAAAGTAATCTTTACTTTAATAATGCCCCGTATCCAAAGATTCGATCTATGGCTTGATAATATGGAAAATTGTTGTCTGAAAGCTTAAGCATCGTCCAACACGCAGGCATCGATGTGATGGATCGTTGAAGAATTATTTCATAATTAAGGGAAATGCGACAAGCCCAACCGTGCGTATCTAATTAAAGCTTAACATATACTATCACTGATGTTTGATTATTCCAGAGCTGTGAGGCCTTGAGGTCGAGCCTTATATGTTTTGATTAGTTGATGATTACTCACTCGTATTCTTTTCCTTTTCCAGTATTTTGGTAAAATTTCAAATACGATTGTGAAGCTTTTCTTTTTCTCAAAAGAATGTCCATGACAGACGTTATTTCAAATAAAACTTTGAAATGAGTAACTTAATCTTAAAACGCACCCCCGCTAATCAGCCGGCCAAATCTTCGTCGGCCGGCGAGGACATGCATCTCGCGCGCCACTTTCCAAGCCATGGTCATGGACAACTTCGCCCAGGGCATTTTTTTTTGTCCTTCTGTCCATTTCTTTTTCCCCTTTTCCTTCTGTTCATCTTCTTCTTTGTTCTTTTCTTTTTCCCACTTTCCGAGCCCGCGCCACCTCCGCTCTTACTTCGATGTATGCGGTTAAATCTTCAAGCTCGCCGACCGCTTGAAGGGCTTCTTCGATTTTGAGGAGACGACGGCGAGGAGCAAGGGAGAGCAGTGGCGACGGTGGCTACGAAGTGAGGACCGGATGCAAAGTCAACTATGCCTAGATTCCTTTTTCTCTCCTCTAGAAGCTTGCGGCCTATGATCATAAAAGTCGCGACCTCCGTCAATTCATTCCAGTGTAGGTCGCTAGCCTTGCACGGCCACGGATTTGTGGTTGGCCGGTTACCTTCGTGGCCTCGATGTCGGGGTTCGGCTTAGTAGATTCGCTCGATTTTTTTCGCCACAACATGTCAAAGCTCTCGAGCGACCATGGCCGCAAGTGAGAGGAGCTAAGAGGGCCGCAAGTGAGAGGAGATAAAGAGTCACGAATGGGAGGAGAGGGATCGGACATAGCCATTGGCTCAAAGCTCGAGCGACCATGGCTTGGAGCTCAGAGATTTGGCAGCCTTGGCCGCAACTGAGGAGAGAGAGGGAGAGAGCCGCTATGGCCGTGAATGAGAAAATAGAGTGGCCACGGCCACCGACTCGGAGATCTAGGGCATTGGCCTAGAGCTCGGAGATATGGCAGCCAAGGCCGCGACTGAGACGAGAGAGAATGGTCATCTGCATCATTGAGCTAGTGCTGGATAGAGAGCGGTCGGGGATGACACTGGCATAGAAAATCTCCGGCGACTTCCTAACGTTGAATGAGATCGGGCACCGAAAGTGGCCCAGCATGGCTACGAAGGAAGAAAAAAAGAAAGAAAGAAAGAAAAAAAACAAGCCCCTTGGCCAATGGCTTCAAAAGTGGCAGATGAGATGCACGAGCTGGCGAAAACTTGCCTCCTAGTAAGTTTAGGGTGTATTTTGAGACTAAGTTGCTCGCTTCAGGATTTCACTCAACACAAAGTCCGCTCTGGGAACTATTTTGAAAAAATCGTTCCACTTCATGACCGTATTTGAAATTTTTCCAATGCACTACGTGTAAACACATTTCGTACATGTTCTATTTACGTCTGTTTATAAAGTTGGGGGTTCGGTCCAATTAGAGCACCCGGCAAATTCCATCGAATCACGCGTGCTCAAGTCTCTGATGAGATTAAATTAACTTGGAATGTTTAGGTTCTAACGGTAGCCCGACAAGCCAAAAAAACAACAAATAATAAATAAACGAAAAGGAGTAACTAACCCTAACTATATGTAGATTCGGATTGCGATAGGTTCGTAGGGACTCCATCTTCAAAAAGATGATTAATCATTAAAGCAATCCGCGGCAATCGCAAGTTGCTTTCGGATGGTTGAAATTCTTTGCCCTAAAGCAAAACAATAATTCACGAAGAAGTGAGATTCTCGTGGGCCAAGCAAATTTGTTATGCCATGGCCATGCACAAAGTGATGAAGCTGGCTAGGGTTTTGACAGGTTCTGTTGGTAGGATAGGATACTCTTGAGAGTGATTAAGGATCTCGGATTTGACATTTGTTGATAATTTGTCAAGTGACAAGTGCTTTTAGTGGAGTTGATTTGAATATCTCTCTCTCTCTCTCTCTCTCTCTCTCTCTCTCTCTCTCTCTCTCTCTCTCTCTACACATGGTAAACTAGGTCTAATGTTTCTTTGATATTCATATCAAGCAAGATTCAAGAAGATTTGCACAATCTTTTGGACTATTGTGACACCGCACGTTGCCTTAAGCCCTTTTCCTCACACATTATTTGCAATCTTACCCTCTCCCCAAGCGCCCTCAGCAATGCGTTCAAGGTCCAAAACATGGTCATTTTAGTCAAAACAGAAAACTTAATGTCCGATCTTCTCAAGTGCCAGGGGCAATTTATCAAAGGGAAAATTACCATATCTGTCATAAACTTATTGTACGGATGCTGATTCAGTTCTAAACTTTTCAATTTTGCCAATTTTATCCTAAATCGTTGCGCAAAATTCTAATACAGTCCTTTCGTCCAATTGCCACCGGAAATTGCTAACGTGGCATTTAAGTCAAGTTCATGAACTACATTAAATATTTTTATATAGTTCATGAACCACATTGAACATATATCAAAAGTCTAAGGACCACATTGAATAAATTAAAAGTTTAAGGTCCACATTAAATATTAGGTTAAAATTTAGGGATCACATTGAAAGTTTAGAAACCACATTACACATTAAGCCAAAATTCAGGATCTGTTTGCATCATAATCCCTCTTATACATGGAGTGCCAAGGTATGAGGCTTATTTTAAGGTGATAATAGAGCAGTTGCTCTGCTCGTGCCAACGTAATTTGTACATATACAACTGAAGATCCGGATTTATTAATACACATACGCTACACTTGAATCAAAGGACTAACTTGAGAATACGATGACTCAATCTCTTTTGAGTTTCTCTTAATTAAAACATCAAGCAGAAACAAATCTCATTGGCCCTTGGTGTCCCCCCCGTCAAATAACACTTTCTTGAAACTTCCCGTCGAACAAGAGTCGTGACCAATGACGTTGGTCGAGTGACCTACGAGGTTAAGATACGCAACATCCTAGAAAATGTTATGCTAATTAAATGGATGGCATGAAACCTAGTATCCCATCGTGACGTGCCACATCCATGTTGACCTTTGCATATCCAGAGTTGGAGCTTCACGAGAACAATGAACGAGAGCTTATGCTACAATCACATCTTTTAGACCTAACAGTGTCAAACTTCACTCTGCAATCTATGGAGACACCTTCATAATTCAAGAACGCATCTGCTACTAGGTTTCTTTGAACGAGCTTTTCAAGTGCCTGACACCAAATGACATAGCTCGATCCCGATTCGTATAACTGACGATAACATCCAAGCAAAAGAGATTGCACAAACAGCTTACAAAAAAGTGGCCAATCTTGGGGTCCGCCATATTTAGACTTCCTTATATCCTTCGAGGCCTAAAAGTTACAAAAATGTCAAAACTACATGATGCTGTTCCTCGTAATAATTGGGTAAAGAAAGAAAAATTCAGGAACGGCTTTGTCCTATCAGCACCATTTTTAACTATATGAGGCCTGCAAAATTTAAATAGCTCTCCTATCCAGTATCCATCACACAAACTACATGTTCCCTCTATCCATCGATTATTCCTGGAATATTTCGAGACTTCTATTAGGCCGATTTCAACTTAGCTGATGTCGAGGCAAGGTGAGATAGGGTCCTGTGTCCGACAAAGATCAGGAATGCCCCCAAGAAACCAAGGGCCTTCAACGTCGTAAACAGATCCAACTGTGCATGAGACATCAAAAGAGAAAAGGAAAGTCATAAAGCAAGGACAAATGACCGAATATCCAAGGTTACTCATCAGAAAAAGCCTAATGGATGCCAGAAGGGAAAGACTGACCTTCAACCAGAAAAGCACGTAGAGCAACAGAACTGCTGCAATGCCACCGTGGAATAGTGTGGCAAATGTGGCAGGTAAAACCGAAGAAGGGAAATTCTTCAAATTCACCCCCAAGCAGAATAACTGTCAAAGGTATAAAGCACGTCAATATCCATTTGCTCATAGAGGAAGATAAAATGATCCAAAACTATCGCAGATCATAAACAAGGGGATGTACGAAGGGAAGATGATCACTCATGCGTTATATCAGTAAGAATAAAGAAAATTCTAAACAGCTATTGTATCGTCCATTCGGTGTTTTGTTTGTCATTATTGTGCACAGAATTTCATAGCCACCCAAGAAACAGGCAAAAGAGAAAGTCCCTGCGTGTAATGAGATCAGTAACAGTTGCCTAAAAAATGATAGTAAGAGGACAAGATGCCAACTTTCCAACATATGCAGATGACCAGATGAAATTATCAGTTCCCACAACAAATATGAACGTACAAACAAAAATGGGAATCAGGAAACCCCAACAAAAAGGGTGAGATAATAATGCTTTAAGTTTAGCTTTTCGGGGTAAGTATCATATTTATATTACTTTTTTCCAGTGTCCCTAGGCCTATATTAACCACTTCAATATGAAACATCTAAGCAAGCCAATAAACTAGTATGACAAGCAAGAAAGTTCAATTCCTGAGAAATGCATTTACACTCAAATCTGACATACCCAAGGACAATTCAGCAGAAGATTGTATCCATTGCTTAGATAGACGTGCTATTTAAATATCGATTAATGATCAAGTTAACTTGGTTGTACAAAACTGCAAACTAGCTTATTATATAGTAAATATGCAGATGCAGAGGGATATGGAAAACTAACCCCCACCAAGAACCCAAGGAATGGCAGGAGGGAAAGACCCAGAAAAGAAAGAGAAAGCTCTTTAGGTGGACGTTTGTCAGGACTTCTAAAGATGTGGGCAATCTCCGCTTTGGGACCATATCTTGAAGAGAGATCAGCTGGCTGCAGAGGAGGGCGAGGTGCCTTTTCAGGAGCCTCTGGCAGATCTAACTCGACGTGACCAATGGGCAACAAGAAAGAATTCTCCTGAAAAAATTATTACACATATTGGCTCGCTTTGCTAGGAAAATCAGCAGCAGTATACACGAGAAGAGGCCATTCTCACCATAACAGCATCACCAACAGTTAGCTGAAGGTCATATCTACCAGAGAGATAGAAGAACTTCTCAACCAGTCCCAGGAAATCCTACATGGCAGTACAATCAGTCAGCAAAAAGTGACAAACTTCCTAAAACACAAGCAATTCACTAAATCTGTGGGGAAGCAGCTAAATTGTCTGAAACCCAATCTAAATTTCTAGTTACATGAAAGTTTTTTTTCATTGAACATGGTCAAAGTGCGACCAAAAAGTAGAATGCAGTCTGGATGTCACTGTTTTAACATTTTTTCCATGAAATTTCATATCCTCACGTTAACAAGATTAAGAGATCAAGCAGTTGCATGTGTAGCATCTTCACCAATTTGACAACGCAACTGGCAAATCATGTTTACCTTCAAGTAAATATCATAAATAGGCATACACTCAGGATATAAAGGAAAGAAGATATGTCACTTAACTAGGACCAATTCAAACTGTTTTCCCGAGATCCCCAACACAAATACGTGTTCAACTTTTGTCTCGTGTTTCAACTTGAGAAAAGCCTGCATCCAAAAAGTCCTCAATCCACATTCTGTGGCAAACAATACTGTTTGAGGACAAACGAAAATAATAGTCGACTAGCAGACCTGATGAGGCTTGTAGGTATGACCATGTGGAGTACTCAGCTGAAAGGAAAGTCGCAGCTTTTGGAGGTGATTCGCTGACAATGAGACATCATTTTCTCGATCCAGATTAAGGCTGAATACATCCACACATCAAGTTAACTCCCATTAACTTCAATTTGAAGAAGATTAAATACGAAGCAGATTCTTGATGTGGAATTTACATAATTAAATCAATTCCAGATAGCAATGATTCAAAGCTTCAGTCTACTAGAACGAATAAACCTTATCCACTAATATGAGTGGGCCATATCGATCATCTCACACAATTCTTCAGACAAAATGTAGTCCAAAATTTAAAATTATTAAGTTCATTCCTGAGGAGTCTATACTAAAAGCTCATGAAATCATACTGAAAGTTGGATAACAATATCTACATTCCAATCCACCAGAGATTAGCTGATTTGAAACAGGAGTAAGGCCTAATTTGGCATACCACTAGGTTGAATTAACTGAATACTTTGATGACAACAAATCCTCCATCGCTAGGACCAGAGTTTCATTTAACATTACTCCAAACATTGAAGTGAGAAGATTACTTTAAGGCATTTGGATCATAATGGACAATGCAGCAGACCAACCTTTTCTGGGTATCTACAGTCCCAAGATCACTATCAAGCACTGCGATTGCAGCATTCTTGATTTTCATGACTCCAGTAATATAAATAGGGATTTGAGTTTGGCCTCCAGTAGCATAGGTTTTCCCATCCTCTGAATCTTGAAGTGCCAGCTGTGGGACATAGGATTGATGCATTATCATTCTAGGATCCGCTGTCACCGAATTTATACTCATCTACCCAAAGAATGAAAGGTACCTCAAAAACAAAGATGTAACTTCCCACATCAACAGTCTCAGGCAATACCAAGCTGTGAAATGTGCTCTCCGGATCATACTTGAGTTCCTACATTGTTAATTGAAATAATCAGAAAACCAACTAAACAGAAGTACATCATGCCATAAGATCAATTGGCACCAGAGGAACATTTCCACCAACTAAGAAAGGAGAAGTCCAACTGCACCTGACTCTCAATAACAGGAACATCTCTCGAAACCGAGCTGAAAGCTCGAATCAGCTTCACTTTCAAGGGAGGAGAGTTCAAACCGAGCACAGTATTTACCTTAACCTGTATTTACATAGAAGCATAAGAATTATGACCTGAGGGCATTTGCAAAGGTACAGATCCTTTTCATCTGAAGGATTTTGATTCACTTCTTTCTAAAGTAATTTTTCAGAACTAAGAAGATATCTAAAGCATGTTTTCAGAAAGGAGAAAGAAAATCAGATTGCTTAAATTGTGCTTGAAGACAGACTATAGATTTTGTTCATTTCTGGTACGCATAAAATAAAGTTCCACACTAGAAATTAACCTTCAGCTGGTCTTTCTTTGTCAAAGAAAGGACTGTGCTTGGAAGTGATAAAATCAAGGGGATGGAAACCCTGCACGCACAGCAAAATCAATTGAATAAAATTAGTATAGATAGCTCAACTTATGCTGGGTCCATCGGCCCATAAAACTTCATATACATTTTTCTTCCTAATCACTTTTCAAAATCTCACTTATGCATTCCCATCATGGCATTACCTTCGCAGTACAGCCAAAAGTTGAGGTTGCTGTCACAATACAACTCTTGTAAAAGAATCAGAGAGCAAAGGTCATAGGTCGTTCATGTTAATTTCTGACTGAAACAGACCGCAGTTATGTTTCTCCAAACCTATTTTTTATTTTTGAATTATATTGTTTTACTCCAAATCTAGTACGTGCAATCCAATATGATGATATCAATTTAATCATAGGCCACTTAAACTCAGTATGACAAATGTGGAGCATATAAGAATAGTCTTATTTCATTCTTCTGTCATTTTTCTGTAATTGTTAGCAACAATGACAAGATAAGTACAAAGGAGACAGTGCAAAGCTTCCGAAAGTTCAAAAGGAGAAGCAAAACAAAGGAGCATAAGATCCACAATTGTTTTCTAATCATTAAAACGTAAGAGCCAGTTTCTCCTTATTGTTTTTTCCTTTTTTTTCCTTTCCTTTTCAGCTAACCCTTCAAATTCTACTTCATAGAAACATCCCAGATCTTGTTTTGTCTTATATTTAAGCAGCAACCTATTCAAAAGAATAATCAGATCTGCTAGACCATCTGTTCAGTAAAAGCTCTTTAAAACTGCAAGTCTCTGGTCTAATTATAATTTCTTCGTGATCTGACAGCAACTTATAGAGAGTATCTTAACCAATATCATTTCATAAACAGGTAGATAGCTGACAGTGAACAAGCAGATAGCTGATATCAAAACCATGGACGCGTACCTATTGTTTTCTAAACAGGCTAATGAACTAATCTGATTGAACAAGTCTTTGGCATCCCCAGGAATTCCAATCCCAAGGAAGAATTTAGCTAAAGCCAATATTCTGTCCTGTGGAAGCTGCAAAACGAAAAAGGGGCATGTATGCATTATGACAAATTTTCACTGAAACTTACTTGACAAAGCCTGTACAAGACATAAGGATCTCCAACTCACAGTTATACTTTCCAAAGTCACAGATGCAAATGCTGTTAGCCCTTGAATGACAGATGAGGTTACTGAAAGCGGACCTCGATGTTCACGTGCATCAACAACTTTCTCATCAAAGTAAAAGGTCCCATCATCTGCAGCAAGGATCACCATTCATTTAATAATATGTCTAATTGCTTAATGAAACAAGAATGTACATTGTGCTTTACTGATTTGCAATCTCTGTGAGGTATCATTATTATAAACTATAAGACTTTGTTCACTGGAATATTCAGTAAGACTTTACAAGTAAATTCGAGACATCTGTTAATGAATGCCATTATTTGCAGGTCATTAATGTCTTCAAAATTCTGACCAAAAAAAAATGTCTTCAAAATTAAAATTCACATCGCCTAAATGTCATCTATTCAATGAACCAACGAAGGGATTATAAACGATATTCCATAATCCAAAGACCTTGTACCACTTAAATGAACCGAAAATTCTGAATCATGTGGCCAGAAAAAAGTACAGCTTAACTTTCAAATGAGAAGGCTGAGGCAGAGATGACAATCAGACATACCATATTTTTCAATACTGTCGAAAAGCTTCACTATATCATTCCTGACTGTGCGGATCTGCCATCAAACAGAAAGTTAAACAAAGAACAATCTCATCCGGTAAAAACAAAATGTATACAACAATAGCATACAGAGTACAAAGCAGAACAATTGTGCATCCCGCACATCTATGTCATAGGTGCACCAATAAATATAATTAGGCAGTTATCAGCTTGCAGCTGTAAAATTGGCTTATCTCGTAGCACTTACAAATTCCTTTTCATTGTATAGTAAAATTTCAAATGACAGCATCCTGAGCAATCTTTTGACACTACTAACAGCTAGAGGGCCTCTTTTTTCACCCTAGCCAACATGTCTAGTTAATTGGATTCTTTCAGTTAATTATAAGGTATCAAATATCTAAACCATTCATTATGTAAGTGCAAGACTAAACGCTACATTATTCTATCAATATCAACTTGAGTCTATCAAACTACTGAAGATGACTTACATTAGTCATAAGATGGCCAAATCCATCTAATGTATCCTGCAGAAGCTAACAAGAACTGTGCCCTACTCTTCTTGTTGTTACATGTATCGCTGTCATCTACATTTGATCTAGGCACTTCACCAATCCCACAATCTTATATGTGATTCAAGCAATCAAGGTACCAATCACAGATCAACCCTTGACAATGACACCATGATTATAATTTAAATTCATAAGCAAGCACAAAATCGAGCTTCTATGTGATAAAACCATATAGTGAATAATCATCTAATTTAAGCTCATGTCCGTCCAAAACAGCAAAATATATATCTATTCTTTAAATCATTTTAAGTTGATAAAGTAGTCGAACCAAATAGGGAAAATATCAAAAAAAAAGAAAGAAACAGAATGCCTTGCTAAGAGCACGAATTCAAGGTGTGTTTGGAATAATCCCTTTTTAGCCTTCCCCTCATACTTTTGCTTTGGCATTCAAGGTTGAACTTTTATCAAAGGTGCACCTCACATCTTTAAAAACAGATAAATATTGACATCTAAGTCGTGGAGAGATTTCATAATCTTTTTAAATTTAAATTTTCTTTTTTGTTTTGGTGGGAAAGCCAAAACATACAAACTTAAATAAAACATGCATAACCTTGCTTAGGAGGAAAAATATAGATCATGATGCATACCTAACCAGCTCATTAACATCAAGATAAAAATTTTTGAAGATACAGAAATTTGTGAAGATATGTAATTTCCCCATTTAGATTTATTATAGGCCTTTTCAGAGGAAGTAAGGAAGAATCACCAAGGACTGATTGATTTCAGGTGAAGCCAACGAAATGACACCGGCAAGTGCTTCAAGTGCCAATCCTACAAGAGCAAACATCATCAAACTGAGTGTAATCACAGAAGCTAGCTAGATCCCAAATACAAGACAAGTCTGACATAGTAAAGCCGAGACAGGATAAATCTTTACCTGCAGCATACGTGCTAGATTCAGGATTGCTAGAACTATAGCGCCACCTTCCATCACTCTGGCTGAGAGCCTGTCAATGAATTGGAAGATTAAAGTACATTACCAAACAATGCCATTACTAAGTTGAAGGGTCATACTGACGTCAAGATAGATCTCCTTACAAAAGAAGGCAGAGAAAAAGAAGCATATATGACTTTGGGTCTGGCCCAGATTCCATCCAGAATACCCCATATACATTACCCAAAAATCTACAGAATAGTGGTGTCTAAGAGCCTAGTTATTGTAGTGAATTTTTAGACAGACCAGTCCCATTTGGTCAGAGGTTTATGAAGGCTATCGACATACCTTGATCGACTGAAAAGTTCCTTCAGCATCACCAAGAAGAACTTCAACATTAGAAGTTTGATCCTAGAAATGTTCACAACAAAGGAGGAATTAGTTTGCTTGAGATGAAAAAGCTCCAAAATTGAAGCTGAAAGCCTGCCTGAGTCGCGTAAATAAGGAAAATCGATGCCTCCCGTTAATATGCGGAAGGCTCTGGACCAATGAACACAGAATGATCTCATTTTTACCTTGATTAGAACAAGTCCACCAATTGAGTAGTAGAAGTCAAGTAACGAACTTGCATCACTCAAAACAGCTTTAAGTCTTGATGCAACGACCTCCATAAGAGAGAAAAATCATTAAGCCTTGAAAAAAGACATTTTCAACATCCCTCGACTGGGAAGTTAGAGAGAGAGCGAGAGCAAAGAGCTCGAAATACCTCAAACGAGGCATCGTCCACATTGCATTTCAAGATGCTGTTAACTTTCAGGGCGTAAAACAACTCTTTCGGAGCTGAAGACGATCCAAGAACCGATGTGACGGACGGACAAGTGGCGGCGCTCACATCACCCTGCTTCTCAACTCCGAGAATCTCGAATGTCCGTAATGCCTCATACGCCTCTTCTAAGCTGAAAATTTCCAGTGAAAGTTCAGCTAGTCACTTCACACATAGATTGCGAATCCATAACGACCGAACCAAACAATCAAAGCACAGGAACTCGCATGTTCGATTTCACAGCAACCATCGGCAGAGAGAGAGAGACAGAGAAAGGAGGAAAACAATATCAGAACTCAAAACCAACAGCAGATCTAGGGTTTAACGGGGATTTTCCCACCAATCACCAAACAACAAAGGAACCACGGACAGCGGACCTCGCAAAGGAGCCACCGACGGGCGCAAACAGCTCGAGAGCGGCGGATCGGTGAGAATCCGAGACCGGACGGAAGATCGACGCGGCGTTACAGATCGACAGAGCCGCGAGCGCGAGCATCAGGAGCTCAGCCATCCGGGTGCTCGCCATACCTGCAAATGCCGAGAGAAGATCGCCCGATCAGCGAAACGCGAGACACCAGCGGATTCGATGCGGGAGGAGGCCAAGTGAGACTCGAGCGAAGGCTGTACCGACGACGGCGACGACGGCGACGACCAGAGCTGCGATCGCACTGAAACTTGAGAGAAAGTGTCGAGACTGAGAGACGACTGCTCGATGAAGCGCTCGAGCCTTTGACTCGGTAGAAGAGTAGGGCTTGACTTTTTGGCAGATGCGGGGGTTTAGATTGGGCCTCGAGTTGAGCCCATTGGGCCGGAAATCGGCTGCGAAAGGCCCAAAATTTCGCGTATTGGGCCCAAGTGGGGCCCACTCTCGAAGAGCTCTCGTGCCGCACGAGCGCTTGTCCGTTCGAGCCGGAGCAGGGCTGGCGATTTTCCGTCCGCGTGTCGTGAACACGTTTACGGTTGGTCCCGATTCGTGTCTGACATAAAAAAAAGCGAATAGTCATTTTGCGATTCTCACGTACCGAAATAGTATCGCAATAAGAACGCGCTCATCTACATCGATTCGTGTCGCCATACGAGGACGTAATGTATCGTGCCGTGTCACATTCAAATTCCTTTTTTAAGGTAATTCGCACATTGTCTCGATATCATATAAAGAAGCGGTGCAGTGTCCAATATTGTCAATCCTAAAGTCGAGTTGCTCGAGTCCTTTAACTTTATGCGAGTCTCTTGTACACCAAGAGGGCTTTTGTGAGCTCGTGACCCAATTTATATGATATAAGTTATTTCTTGTATTCCGCTTCACTAACTCACGAACGATAAGGATTTTTGATCTTTTCTGCCCCAAAAACAATGCTAAATCATTTGCATATCAAATTGCAATGGTGGTGGTTCGACCACTGCTACCTACCGCTCTTTGAAAATGGGTGGATTGTCTATATTCAGCTCGACTGAGGTCATGTAACTAGTATGAGGTCGCATGAATCGTGTGAAATAGGGTGCCGGGGCTAGTTAACCCCGCTTCCGCCGGACCTAGAGGGGTCGGTGATCGCCCCCGGCCCTTCTCTTTGTACGTGGATTTTCTCTTCATTTTAAACTCGCGCCGCGTACATTAGGGTTTTTACTTCTGGAAAATGCCGCCAAACCGAAGTTAGCGGGGGGGCACCTTAAAATTCTAGTTCGAGAAATTCTAAACTCAAAGCCGTGTCAAGCGCACCCACAAAAATCGACGTGGCATCACGAACGAATCATAAATCTCACCAGAAATTTTATATCAACTAAGCATAATAAGATAACCCTCCATTCGAAATTACATATTTCACCTTGGTTTGGGTTTTACGCATGCATACATACATGGCAATTTGGCAAACGCCTTTCTGGCAAAATCCACAGATGGGAAGGTAACGTTGCAGGACGACAATGGGGACGGGGCATATTGTCTCTCTCTCTGTCTCTCTCTCTCTCTCAATTTTTAGTTGACCTTTCAAATTGAACTCGAGATCACTCCTCCAAAGCTCCGAAGCCTTCAAAGCTTTTGAGCCCGTCTTCGTCTTCCCTCGAAAACTCCACCGTCGTAACTCCGGACCGATCGCCGAACGAGAGAGCGCCGCCCCTCGTCGCAATGTCGTTCGAGGTCGAAGACGACGAGGAGGCCCTCGAGCACACCCTCCTCGTCGTCCGGGAAGTCGCCGTCTACAAGATCCCGCCGCGCCCCACCTCCGGCGGCTACAAGTGCGGCGAGTGGCTCCAGTCCGACAAGATCTGGTCCGGCCGCCTCCGCGTCGTCTCCTGCAAGGACCGCTGCGAGATCCGTCTCGAGGATCCGGGCTCCGGCGAGCTCTTCGCCGCCTGCTTCGTCCTCCCGGGCCAGCGGGAGAGCGCCGTCGAGACCGTCCTCGACTCCTCCCGCTACTTCGTGCTCCGGATCGAGGACGGCCGGGGGAAGCACGCCTTCATCGGGCTGGGGTTCGCCGAGCGGAACGAGGCCTTCGATTTCAACGTCGCCTTGTCCGATCATGATAAGTACGTGAAGCGGCGGGAGAGCGACAAGGAGGAGGGTTCCAGCGAGGGGGCGGGTGATGGCGATGGGCACATCGACATTCACCCTGCTGTTAATCACCGGTTGAAGGTAAATTGAGGACGGCTTTCCGCTTTTGTTTTCGTTAGCTTTAGCATATGTGAATCGTTGAACTGTGCTCGAATCCGTGTATTCTAGGCTTAGCGTTTGAGTTTTTGTGTTTCTGGATCTGGTAAGATGGGATCTTTACCTTTGATCTAATCAGGATTTTGTACTTGTGGATCTAATCACGAGGATAAGCTGATAAAGTTAGTATTTTGTTTCAGTCGGCAATGGCCATAATATCAAGATTTTGTGTGCTAATCCTTCGCTTAAGGTGTGAGTGCTTCTTTGTTGGTCTCTTCGGGGAACCAAGTAGCTTACTGCTTGATCACCCACTTTTGGGTGTTTGTTAGGGGACACAACATAACATATGTTCTGATCAACTAACAAGCAACCTTGTTTGAAGTATGAGTAAATACTTATTGAAGGTTGATATTCTGGATAAAGATCAGGATAGATGGTCCACCAGGGCTTGCAGATTCCTTTAACTGCGGTTTCTTTCCAATCAAAGCTTCAAGTATGTCTCAGTTTATCAGACTTGCAGCTAAGCATATGTAGAATGTATAAACAGATAGACATGTTGTATGGTCCATAAGGGAGAGCAGACGTAGCCGTGCTCCAATATGTAGCTTAAAAATCCTCTCTTTCATGAAATGGTAACGTAGAAAAATTTGTGATATCGATTCACAAAGGGCACCACCACCTTGTATGGTTACTAAGAGTACTCCTTTTGAGGGTCCCGTTGAACATGCCCCCTTTATGTTGACCAAATTAGATGTTGACTTATGAATCACTCAACAAGGTTTCTCTCGACTGATGCGTGACTTAAGATGTCACAAAATTCCTCACTCAAAGAACAGACATCCTCATATGCGTTGGCCCGTATCGTCCAGCGATACTTTCCGTATTTGATGTGTAGTCCACTATAATCCTGTCCCCTTCGGCATCCTAGAAGCACGCCAGGAGCTGAACCTTGTCCGAGCTTTCTTGCCTCGGCGGTCACCCCCTACTCTCATCAAATCAGGTACTAGCCTAGTCCTTCCACAAATCACACATCAGTTGGAGGTTGTCCTACTTTGATACCATCTGTAACGACCTAGCCCGGCACACGCAGGCCAAGCTCCCAAAAGGGAGTACTCTAAGTAGCCATACAAGTTAAAGACCATTTGGGGGTGGGAGTTGACTTATAAATCACTCAATATGGCCTCTCCTATCTGTCATGGAACTTGAGATGTCACACATATAGTTAGCTCCAAAAGAGGAGAAATGAAGAGACTGAAGTGGGGGAAAGATGGTTAAAGAAGGAATGAAGAATATGTTTGATTGTTTTTGATTCCATGGATATTATTCAAACGAAAGTGCTGGTTGTCGACTATCTATGGAAAGAGAAGATTTTACTTTTTCATTTTCATTCATTGAGGATAGTTTTTTTACAAACTTTCTGAATCATTAGAATTTTCTACATTGCAAACCTCAATGAGAAAGGTTTCATGTTAAGGTGAAATCAAAATTTTAAAATAAATGGGCATCATATCATCACTTTGGCTTTCTAGATCTATTGAGCTGTACTCAGCTGAAAGAAGTTTCGAGTGATATGATTCTTTATAGCCGACATGTTGGTACTTCTAATGTCTTGCTTAATGCGTGTATGTCTTCTAAATTCTCAGTAGATAGAAGAAGATATTAGTTTTACATCATTTGGCAAGTTTGACATTCACTTAGGATGTGGTGGATTTCTCGTGCTATGGTGTTAATTTTAATAAGTATTGCTAACCTGCAGTATTTATTCAAGTTGCTACAAATTGATGCTGACAGAACTGACTACAAATTTATTGGATGTTAGGAAGGTGAAACTATTCGGATAAATGTGAAGCACAAGTCTTCTGGTGGGACCGGTATGCTTTCAGCTGCTGGACTGTCAGGAGGGCCTTCGGGGAGTGGAAAACCAAAAGCTCTAGGCCTTGCCCCACCACCCAGCGGAGCCGGAAAAGTCCGGTCTCCTCTCCCTCCCCCTCCAAATGATCCTGCTGCTGCCAGGATAACCTCTGCATCTCATGGTCTCAGCAGCAAGACCAAGGAAAATACTAGACGAGGCACTGATGCTTTGTCAGATCTGTCTCAACTAGAGGTATGAACACAGACTTGATCCTTTGTCATTCTGCCTCGGCCATTTTGTTGACTTGCTAATTTAGGGTGTGTATGGAATGGCTTTGCTACAGTTTTTTGGTTGAACTTTTGTTTTTGGTGGTTGAGATTTGATTCTTTTTTTCCTTTTAAAATTTAACATTTCGGATCACAAAAAAGAATACATCAAAATATAAAAGTCACTTGAAGTCATCTTAAATATTGTCACATAAGTTGCTTTTGTTTTGGCATGAAAGTCATGGAGCACTTTTTGACCTTTTCCTTTTTCCAAAGAAACATCTGCGTTATCGAGCTAGCTTGTAGAAGAAAGAAGCTTTGGCTTTTCCCCCCCTAGTAAATTTTTCAAATTTTCTGGTTCTTCAGCTTTGTATCATGAATTGTTCTACTTTGATTCATTTCTTCTAGAAAATGTAAACACGACCATTTTTTTGTCTAATCAGTGTGATTCCCTATCCCTGGCACAAACCCAGGGAGGTCTTTCCATTGCAGAGTTGTTTTTGATCAGCTATCTCACAATGTGTTTTTTTTTTTTTTTGGGAGGGGGGGTGGGGGGGGGGGGGTTAAAACCAGAACTTCATGAAGATGCTAACATATTACACAACCAAGAAGGGAGGCATACCTCTCTCAAAATTTGAGTCTAAAGTGCTCGTATTAGCAGAAATAGTAGCATTATTTACATTATCCTTGGCCAACAAGTTCAAAAGGCCAGTCAGGATATCATAAAAACAACCTAATCTGTCTCAAATTCCTTCCCTGACCCAGCAAGTGCATATGCACAGTAGTTAGCTTCTCTAAACATGGGGTTCAACCTCACCTGCTGGAATGTCTCCATTAATATCCTGCATTAATTCAAAATAGGTGTCTCATAAATGTATATGATTGTATTTTCTAGTCCCTGGTTAGGATTGTTTGCTGGTGGGAGGAATTTCTTGCCTAATTAAATTGCGCTGCCTCAACAAGCAATGTGCTAGCTGATGACTGACCTTCCCGGCAGCCACCATTGCAGACGTCTGTTTTTGGTGCTGTTAAAATTCTCTCTGTAACGGCTGTACAACATCACATTACAGCAGCTATGGCTTCTGTAGCAGTTTTGCGGGCATCTTCACCTGTTACTGAATGCTAAAGACAGTGTGATGTGAAGCAAGAAAATCTGAGTATTGGGCTGGGTAAATCTGGTTTTACGCATGAGAGGAAGGTGTAGATTAGGCAAGTTGATACTTGATAGTCATTTATGAACTTCCTCAGTGATTGTGTTGCAAATAGGCATTGCCTTTAAAGATGGAGATGCCCAGACCTTTTGAAATGAAGGGAGAGGATGCAGAAGCTGAGGACATCAGATTTTCAGGCTAGGTTATAGGAAAGGATGGCTGTAATTGTCACATTCTTCACTTCTTAAGTAAATTGCGGAAAAGAAATAGGATCATCACTTCTGCTTGGGCGTTGGATATATTTACACTTACCAGTCATTACATGACAATCAAAGAGAGAGTACGTTGTACACTGCGATTAACTAAAGTGAAAGTAAAAAATAGTTTGGCATATTAAGTATTTTGTTGTGAGAGAAAGTACTTCACATAATAAAGATGATTGATTTATTGATTTTCGTAGGATTTAAGAAGACATTACCATTCACATATTTATTGACGAAGACCAAGTAATTTGAATTCTAACGATTAATTATGCAAGAAATTAGTTAAAACAAACTATACTCTCTTTCACACAATAGTTTAGTTTCTTTTTTTTTTTTCTTTAGAAATTTATATCTGCGACGCTTGCGACCCATTGCGGCACCCCACTTCAGTGACGACTGTATCATCAACCTTTATCTGACCTGTGACCAAGATTTTATCCCTTGCAGCCAATTGCTATTCATGTAAAACTACTCCGATAGATGATTTTTACACCTCAATTTGATGTCTTTTCAGCTGACATTGATTTCACAGTTCGTGCACTCAAAGTACTTAGTTCTTCTTTGTTTACTAATTTTATGGAGTAATTTTCTCTACTTTTACGGATATCACTCTTTAGGTTGTGAATGTGTGTATCACCATTGGTGATAATGCACTATGTTTCTCAAGCTTCACCCAGTTGCATTCTGCCACTGCCTCCTTGTGGGGAAGTTTGTCCTCATAATTCATGTTTGCAATCAGGCAGGAGCCCCTCATTTCCTATGTAAAGATTGTTTTTGTATAAGTTATGTAACGATAACCCCTGAGTGGTCATTATTTTCTTGTAGCGCTAGAAAAGTTGATTCTGATTTGTGGATAGAAATCGAGTATTTGTTCTAAAAGCTATACTGAAATTGTAGCAACTTATTCTCTCTTGGTGTTGATAGTGCTGAAGTCTGTTTCTGGTGTTAGCACATATGTGCAAACTTTATTTTGATAATTTGTAGAAGATCTGTGTATCAAGTGGTGTAAGCATTATGGTTGAAGAACAAACTGTTTGTGAATTGTATGACATATACATCTGGTAATTTGCAGAGAAACCTCCCTTCCACGGCCAGTTCAGGTTCGACCAAGACTGCTACAGCATCAGGATGGGCAGCGTTCTGATGCTTGGAGTGAGGGATATGATTTATATATTGATTGTTGTACTGGAAAAAAAGAGGTCACGAGAGACTAATTAAAAGTGATTTTTGAGGCAAGTGTTAAATTCTTGAGAAATAATGACAGCTCGATATTATCATATGTTTGTCCGACCCATATACTTGATTTTACACCTTTGACTTTTCACATGATATGAAAGTTTGAATTACCTGTTTTGAGTTGGATTTTGTAGTTGTGTTGATGTTTCTGTGTATATATGTGGTTTTACGTGGAATGCTCTTGATTTCAAGTGGGTTTCGCTCGATAATTCACTTGGTATTGCAATTAGTTAAAAAGGAATGCTGTTTCTGCATTATCGAGATTTAGAGACTAAATGTTGAATGCAGGGATTAATTTACAAGTGACTAATCTCTTCTTTTGGAGCTCAAACCTATAGCATGTCATTGTTACGACTTTATTTCGTTGTCAAAGCCATAGGAAAAAGAGAACCCCGGCTTTTGTGTTTGCAGTAAGTACAGTAGGAGAATTATCCAGTGCAGACCGATTTAATGACCGATGCGGGAACTTGTGATGCCACTGCCAATGTATGTAGAGATCCATGCATTTCGGCGAGCTTCATTGTAGTTAGAGCATTTTACTGAATCTGCTGATGCGTTCTACACCGATGGACATCGCTATTGCTGTCAGCATCAATAACAGATACAGTAAACAAGCTATTGAAAGGTAATCCTCAAATTCACTCTGGAAAATGCAACTTCTTTACACAGGAAGGGAGAGGTGACTGCAGTCTACCAAATTCATTTGGCCACTCTGTTAACTTATCAAGCACCTATCCATCTATGGTGAATGGATGGCCTGTCAAAGTAGCCAGTTTCGGAGATTTTTTCTTTCTTTCTTTTGGCGGAAGCATCAAGAATTGGCGTAATTGCATAATAGAGAGATTTACATGGTTTGAGGCGGATTTTGCCAAACCATCAGCTACGAGGCCTACAAATTTTCACCACTTTAAGCATATCAAAATGACTAACCAAGAACGCCATGTTTAACGAAATGGAACTGCGTTCAGCAAATAGGCTGGTTGTAGACATCGTTGGAGAGAATCGCTATGCACAACAACTGAGATCCATCCGAATCTAATAGCTAGACAAAATGAATAAAACATCTTCAAAATTTCCGCTTCAAAGCGCTTATGGCGTAGGTCTGGATCCCCATTTGAAGAAGCTCTTGATTCTCTGATGAACAATCTGCAACGCCACATCCCGCCCACTCCTTATTCTCGTTCCAAGCCCCGTCGCAAAAAACAAGAGCCAGCTGAAGCAAATTTTGTCTTCGCGAGTCGGCTCCGTCCATTTGATGAAGCACCGATGTAGTCATAGCAATTTGCTTGTTCATGGGAGTCCTACTCAGTCCCAAACGTGGCCTTATTTCTAGAACACCAAATAGCCCAACAAATAGATATTCATTTCTTATAAGACTCCCCGCCAACATACTAAGGCAGAGAAGGCAACCAGGAAACAATATTCTCTTGTGCCATCATCAGTTCAAATACAAAGATCCGAGCCAAACCATACTTATGCCGCAAAAGGACGATGCATAAAGAGATGGTCTCTGGTTTGAGCACCATTACCACACATTTTACATAAAAATCTCAGATTGAATAACCCGCCGGTTAAGTTGATCACAACTGGGTCAAAATGTTATCCCAAGCATTTCGGGCAAAACCCTAATTATATGAGGAAGAGAGAGGTGCCGCACCATTTGCTATATAAGAGTATAAATTAGCACTTCCACTGCTCGCATTAGCTTTATAGATTTACCCATGTGACTGTTAATAAAAAGGGAAAAAAGGAAGTGATGTTCACAAGATAAATGACATCATTAGTATCAGTAAATGCAAAGTTGGCCGAGACATATGAAGCAATGAATATGCCATCTTCCAGTCTCAGGCACTATAAACAACTTGAGAACCTGAGTCGGATCAATATTGATAATTTCCTCAGTTACAACCTGCCCTGGAAGTCCAGAATTATGTACACTCTACAACAAAAATCTGCAATTGTAATCAAGATTCTAGAAAGCAAAAAGGCAAGACAGAGTTATAACCAACAATGTGGCCACGTAAGCTCGATAAGCTGGGAAGCCACGAAAATCAGGCAAACTTGCACTCAACCCAAGAAGCAAAATGGAGGGGAGACACCGTCATTGATACTCTGGCTTGAGGACCCAAACTGACCCATTTGGGTCCTTCTCAAGTGTCGCTATCGCTTTCAATAGATTTTTAAACAATGGTAAGTCATTGGAAGGTATCCTGTCCTTGAAATGCTGCACTATGGTGGCCGAGTCAGTGCTTCCACCTCTCTGCTGTAAAAATGTACAGATCTGACGAATCAATATTTCTGGCTGTACATGAGAAGAGCTGTGTGATGACGTTGAAGTCCCCACATCCAGTCTTCTCAAGTCACCAGAACCAGAAACAGACCCTAGCTCTGCTGAAGATAATGCTCTCTGTTGATTTCCTCGGATTTTAGCCAACAACTCTGCTGAAGATAATGCCTTCCCAGCTACGACACCAGCCACAATGCCATTGCTTGTTCCATTACTAGGTGATTCATCTGATGACCTTTTAGAATAATTATTCAACAACTTGGAACTAACTGTAGCACCAAATTTCTTCTTTGCACTTGACGGTGCTCCCGCCATCCCTGATTTTCCGGTCCATGTTGGAACTGACACACTGTCACGACTTCGCATCATTCGCGATTGGCGCAACGCTTCTGCTGCTCGTTGTGCAATCTGGGATGCTTGCTCTTCAAGTCTCATCTTCTCTTCATCATGGGCATTCATGATAATATCGTGATTCACGGCACTCTAGAAAGATGAATGAACAACTTAAAAATAGAAGTGAGAACATGCACATGACTGTAAATTTAACTAAACAAGGTACTCCAAAAAGACATGATTCGATTGTGAAGAAAACTTTTCTCACTGCTGTCGAGAAACATGCTTCATATCAATTTCCAGGAGACATTTTTCAAGGACAGAGCAGACCTTTGACACACTTTCACATATCAATTAAAAACTCAAACAAATATACCAATCAAGGGAAATCAACTTACATGTATCCCATTGGCTTCTAAGAGATCCCTTAAGATATTAGCTTCTCCGTCCGCTTCTCCACTATCATCATTCACTCTCTCCTTTCCTTTCTTTCTCGAAGATCCAGTATTTGACTTGCCCGCATGACTGCTTGCACAATCACCATCCTTGGAAGCAGCAACTATTGGTACTTTACCCTTATCCTGCCTCGTGTTTTGTTGTGCAACTACAATTACGTCCTCAGTCAACTGACTGAAGATATTTGACGTTTCAGTAGCCCCACTCTCTCCGTCATCATTAAGAGTGAAGAGATTTTTCATATCGCGGGCTTTGAAAATCCTTCTTTGCTGCGGATTCTTTAATATCTTGTTAGTGAGAAACTGTTTGTAAATCTGCCGATGATAAACTTTCTCCTCTATGGTTCCTCGAGTAATCAATCTATATACCGTTACATCCCGTGTCTGACCAATACGCCAAGCACGCTCCCTTGCCTTTCATAGGAAGAGCAAAGAATTAAGTATTAGATCAAATTTCAAATGCTTAATTCAACAACCCAATCGAATTTTTTACGTATAAAACCAAACATTGTAGAAGGGAACCAAAGAGAGTAAGCAATTTGAACATCCTTATATTCCAAAGATGTCTTCCACTTTCAAAATGTTAAAAACCGAATTTAATTCTCCATCTGTGAATAAAATAAATAAAAATTCATATGCACTTATAAGAAATGCAAGACTGTTTATTCAAATTTGAAGTTATGCTCAAGAATCAAGCATCGCACAGATCTTTAAGTAGGCAAGAAAAGCTGAGAAAGACATGCACGTTCTGAATGAAACATTTCAAAAGCTCAACCAAACCCTGCCTATATTATTGCACTCTGTGCATATCACTCTGCTCTACGTTTTGTGGTGCGTGAATTTGAAAGAAAAAGGAAAGGCAAGTTCGTTTGTCAGTATATGATGGATTAAGTTTTTTGTTTTAAACCATCAAAAAAGTATACAGTACAAAGAGAATCATCTTCAACAATTAAATGAAATACCTGCATATCAGTTGAAGGGTTCCAGTCGGGGTCAAATATGATCACCCTGTTAGCCCCAGTTAGATTTGTACCTAAACCACCAACTTTTGTCGTTAGGATAAATATAAACACGTCATCTGAATTGTTGAACTCATCTATCAAAGCCATTCTCTGTTTAACGGGAGTGACACCATCCATTCTTCGGTAATTATATTCACCAGAAACCAAGAAAGTCTCAAGAATATCAAGCATCTGTTGAGTTTGGGAAAAAAGGAGAACACGATGTCCCTGCTCCTTCCAGACCTTGAGCACTTCAGCAACAACCTTCATTTTCCCACTCCTCTCAGGATTTCCATAGTCAGGGTTGTGGTGTGCGTGTTCCCTCTCGAGCAGATCAGGGTGGTTGCATATCTTACGCATTACATCAATTCCATAAAGAGACTTTCTACTCCCGTCAAGAATCTGCTCAACCTCAGAGCTAGCAAGAAAAGCTCGATATACAGATCGCTGTTCTGCAGTAAGGCTGCAGAAAAGGACATGCTCTGTCTTCTTTGGGAGCTGTGCATTGACATCAGCTTTCATCCGGCGAAGAAGATAAGGCATGACTAGGTCACGTAGAACTACTGCACACCTATACAAAGAAATTGTATGACATTCAGATTCAAGTGGTCACAAAGTATATCAAGCTCCAGCTACACAATCGGAAACTGATCAATGCAGCTTAGCTGGATGTATTAAGTTATATGAACTTTTAAAAGACACGTAGGCATGACCTCCATGACTACTGGTAAAAGGTCCATTAAACTACAAACTAAGCTCCATGATGTTACATGCAAAACAACAATGTACGTAAAAAAGGAGTTAGAATATCTACCTGTAAGCAGTAGATACTTGCAGTGGTGAAGCATTGGCATAACCGCCCACCGTAATAGGGACTGCAAATTCTGCCTCGAAAACTGGCAATACCCCCAGCTTCCCAGGGAAAACAAAATCAAACAAAGACCACAACTCAGTCAGCCTATTTTGAATGGGTGCTCCTGTCATAATTATCCGATGAACAGTTTGCAGCTGTTTGCAAACAAGGGTAATCTCAGCATTAGGATTCCGAATTCGGTGTCCCTCATCCAGAACTGCATAGCCCCATTCTACGTCCAGTAATTTTTCCCCTAACAAGCGCAACTGCTCATATGTAGTGATGAGCAGACCAGATTCTGATCTCAAAACACGTTTAATCAGTGGATCCCATTTTTTGGCGTTCTTCGATCGCGAAGTTTCCTCATAGTCACTATCAAGCGAACCTTCACTCTCATCATCACTTTCATAAGAGTTTTTAAACTTCTTCGAGTAACTATCTTGTGAAGACTCATGTAATATCTCCACATGAAATTTGGGATACCATTTCTTTGCTTCTCTTTTCCACTGTCGCAAAAGAGTAACAGGGCAGATCACAATGCTTGGCTTATACATGTCACTGACATGGAGTGCACCAAGAAAAGATAAGACCTGAATAGTTTTACCCAGACCCATTTCATCTCCAATTATCCCACCAGCTCTTTGGCAATGCAATTCCCACAGCCACTGTACTCCTACCTTCTGATAGTCAAAAAGTTTGTTGAAGATGGATTCTGGGATTTTCAGGCCCCCTTCTAGCACTACACAAGGGGATAGACTGTTATCTACCTCTTCACCTTCCTCTTGTACGTCACCTTCATAACTAGAGGTTACCAAGTTATCACTTGCGTCATCTGAAAGAACAGGAAATTTGATGAGTGACAGAAAGCCCTTTTAGTAGAAATATACAAAAGTCATATTCACTAATTTCTCAATGATTACAATTGTACAACATTACAAATGCATGATTCTTAGAAACCCCCATATCTTCAATAATGGACAACAATATGATGTTTATGACAATGCAGAGCATTATTGAGTAATTAGGTAAGCAGAGCAGAGAACACACATTGATTATGCAGAGGTAAAAATATGAGAAGATAGAGCACTACCTCAACTTAAAGTCCTACTGAAAATAAAAACTTTGAAAAGTTCAAAGATCACATCAGATCATTGATACTGTCACGAATCGATTTCACAATTTACCGACAGAAATGAGTAACTGTTGCTCGAAAGAATCACTCAGATTGCTGCCTATCACTTTTGCATGCTCTTTGATCAGATAGAGTCACTAAAAGCATCAATAACTATTTCATAATTGTAACACAATAACACCTGAAGAACAATATTCTACATGATAATAATATTCCATCAAGCAGAGTTACTAGAACAAATCAATTGGCAAAACAGCATAACCAGTGAATTAAACAACACTAAACCTAGAGCGACACAATTCCATAAAGGCGTTAAAAATGCAAAGGAGCCGCACTACTGTTAGCAAAGCATTTGAGGTACCATCATCTGTGGACTGCTTTTCCTCACGGGAAACAATGTTTCTCCATTTCTTGCCCGGCAGAGGCCTCTTCTTCTTCCCAGATGCTCGAGATTTTTCCACCTCACTTTCATGGGAACTCAGAGCTTTTGGAGGTTTTTTTAATCTTTGAAATGGCGTTGTGGGCCCTTCAAGCTTTGGTAATGCTTGTGAATCTACCAGCTTAGTGGTTGGGCGAGCTTGAGCCGCTTCCGATATTGATCTAACGGCTCTATCAATGCTGGTTGTAGCTAGGTCATTGCCACTTGCTTCTTGTTCAGAGAGGCTGAACCTTTTTGATGTCTCTGGATTTTGAATACCACGTTCATAGCCCTTAAGCTTATGAAATGGAGTCAAAACACCTTTGCGCACCAATGCATCCCTTTCCTGGTTACCTTTTTAAATTCAGATCAGCATTCAAACTTCTATTTCCTTGATATTAAAGACATGCAATTCACTGAAAGAAGCCCAATAAAAAGTACATTTAACTCGACTGTCTTAACATACCGTTTCGACAAAGCCATTAGATGCAGAATCCAGAACCGCATCAAAATCATCGTCATCACGAAAAGAAACAATTTTCTGTCGCTTTTCTAGCTTTTTACTTGGTTGCTGAACTCCTTTAGATTTTCGTTTCAGTCTGGGCTTTTCCTTCACGAGATTTCTCAAGATCTTGTCATCCCCTTTGCTCTTATCAGGGTTTCCCTCCCCCAGTTCTACTAGTTCTTTCTCAAGCTGGGCCTTAGTTTCTTTGAGACTTCTCAATCTATCAGATGCCAAGGCGTGGTGAAGGGATGAATCGCCAAAAGAAGCCTGAAAAACGTTTCTAGGATCTTCATCCCCATCATTTCCTCCATAACTACCTTCCTGAGCTCCGTCGTCAGAGCTCTTAACATTCTTCGACTGCTCGACGGTAGACGCAACAGCATCTATCTCAAATTCTATTGCCTTCAACTTATTGTATAGCTTCCCTTGAGCAGAGGACGACGGATCAATGCTATCCGAATTCTCGGGAGCTTCCCCCTCGGGGACCCCTCTGTCTTTACCATCTCCAGCACGGCCTTTTGCCTGCATTTTAAATGCTAGTGTCAATGTTTTTCCATTTAAATAAAAAAAAAGCGTTGCCAATTATATTATTCATGTTTTTGCCTATATACATGAGATGTGGCAACGTAAAAACCCACGATAGCATTCCGTTTTCTCAGGAAGCAGCTATGAGAAGAAGCTGTCTCGATGTTCAGGCGGGACACGATTCACGAAACACAGTGAAGCAGGCCCGATTAGCACATACCCAAATTTCTAATCGTAAACACTACAAGCATCGAGCTTTCGCATTGGCTAACGTCAGTCAGTCAGCTCAGAGAGTCAGCAACTCGAGATCCTAGCGACCAAACCGTGGATTGTCCTCACCAGGAAACCGAACAAAAAAACAACCGTTCCTCGGCGTCGCGAGGATGGACACGCGATGCAATCCAGCAGGGCGGGCGCAAAAGAAATCCAAACGGAATCGATGGAGCAAAAGCCGTACCTCGAAGGCCTCGGCGAGAACGTTGCGCTCGATGTCATCGGGATTGGCGGAGACGACGCCGAGGCTGCTCAACAGAATCCCATCCTGATCCTCCATGGCGGAAGAATCGCGTCGATTGATCAATTCGAAACGAGGAGAACCCTAAAGCAGGAGGAGGAGGAGGAGGAGGAGGAACTTGGGGCTCAAGATTCTACGCGCGCTCCCATCCCATTTGACGCCCTTTTATTTCGCCCTTTCTTTCCTGTTTTGAGTTTCTATAATTCTGTTTACTTTGACTTAATCTTGCTTTGTCCGCAAATTCAATTAATCTTATTACAAACCCACAAGAAACTTTCATGTACAGAGATTTTGGTATATAAATTTCCTAAATTTGGTAAGACCGCAGAAATAATTTTTCAGCTTTTCAAAAAGTTTAACACAAATGCACAAACTTTTGTATACAATAATGGGAAAATGCCATAAAAAATCTCAAATTATACGCACCGTGATCAATTTACCCTAAATTTTTTATTATAATGTAAAAAAACTCTAAATTTGTACTTATTTACTCTCTGTCGATGTTTTTTCAGATGGTTTTCCAGTTAAAACAACTCGTTTTTATTTTATTAAAGTCGCGTGGGCGCTATATCAACACCATTTATCTTCTGGCATCGACTCACGATTAAGATCATCCACTGTCTCAGTTTCACAACCGCAGTCGCAAATGGACCAGCCCCCGCTGGCCGACCTTAGAGAAGTGCCGGCGACAACGGGATCAGATTCGAGAATAGGGCTGGAGTTAGTAGTGGTAATTAAAGTTTCTTGTTTGTGATTATTATTGGAAGGGTAATTTGGTTTTCTAGGTTAGGATACGCAAATTAGTCTCCCAATGCGAATTGAGGATTTTGGTATACAGATTAATCGATGACAACCATCCTCATTAGTTTCCTCGCTCGATTGTTTCTTCGTGACATTACCTTATATTTGAAATTTTAGTAAGGTCATGTAACGCGGGAGAGAAAAAAATATTTGAAAAAATCACGTCAATATTTCTCATTAGTCTAATTGAACAGAGTTAACAAACGAAGTCAATTGTACCAATTTAATAAGTTTTAGGATTTGATTACTTTTTTTTTATAAGTTTTATAGCTCATTTACATTTTCGTGACAAGTCTTAGGGTTTCGAGTGCACTCATTTTTTATTAATTTACGTAGGTTGACTTGGATAAAAAAAAAGTTATGATAAAAAAAATCTTGAACAAAATGTGCGGGGGCAAAAAAAATGTAAAAGGGTCGGTCTTGCATATATATCTCCATAAATTTTGTTGGTGATATCTATGAGATTAATGAATGGATTTACATTGTTTATATCCACTGATCGGGAGCGCTATAAATTAGGAAACAAATATCATAACCCCAAGCAAGTGAATATTGAATATTTATTGTTCGTAGAATTGCACTAATCACATCTTCATATGCAGCGTACCGAATTATGATCTCTTTTGTCAAGTGAATGGATCGTGGTTGGGGAATTGAAATTTTAACGAGGAACTTCAAGGTTTAAAAGTATTGAATTTTGCTTTTGAAATTCACAAGACCAAGAAAAGAGTGAGAATTGCCTTTTGAATATTGACTAGATATCTAAAATTAATGTAGAATTGGAGTTCTTGAGTACTCGACAACTCCAACCAACTTCACCAATAAAAAAGAAAATCGAATTAAATTCCCAACCATAGAAGAAAATATTATGATTGCCGTACTTTTATTACTAATCCTGCACTTTCAATTTCTTCAATCAAATCCTTCGACTTGCAAATTGTCTAATCAAATCCATGCACCACGAAATCCGGCCATATCCAATTCACATGACTATCAGAAGAAGCTGAAGCGTAATAGGGATTCGATATATTGCCTATGTGGACATTCATCGTGAGGCATGGTTAGCGAATAGATTAATTTTACTTAACTCGCCCTTTTATTCTTCTAATTATTCAACATCCACATTAGGTGTCGATGTAAGCAAATATTTAATCCACGCCCGGACACCGACATCCTCTAACAGCTACTTAGCCGGATTTAGCCCAATTTTCTACGGGATGGACTCGATTAAACATTTCATGTGAATAGAAGGACTCGATTAGAAAAATCGAAAGTACAAGGGCTTGGCCAGAAAAAATTATTGAAGAGATATGGATCAAAAGTTGAGTTTCTTCCTATACAAAACATGTACTTATTTAGTTCATCGTGTATTCTAAAAAGATAAACGTCGCGGTTGAATCTCTCTCTTGACTGAACGAATGAGAACGAGATGCCACGAGCAATTCATTTTATTTAAAGTGTCGTTTTGGCTTATAGATTGTTTGTAGCTCTATCTCAAGACACATGATATTATAACACGTCGATTCGAGCAAACCTTCCTAGGACACAGCCAAAAATAATCAATCTAGCCGGAGAGATCTTCCGCTGATCATGACGAAGTTAGAGGGAACTCGATACATGGCCCGTCCTATTCGTGACTCCTTACGTGTGTAACATAAAGTTCGTTGAAAATGAAATAAAGTTCAATTAATAACGTGGAGTTCCGTCTAGTGTAGGTCTATCTACTTTGGATCCATTTGGTGACTTAGCATAGTATAATCACAATATCTTTTCATAATTCAGGGACACGGGCTGGTCATTCCGAGGCCGATAGGACGACCTGCGAGCCCCTTGCCTTAGTTAAGCGCGGGTCTTTGGCCTGTGCAGGTAGCTCTGACGTAGAATAGTTTACACGTAATTAGTGAGATTTGAATGGGTCACCCCCGGTTCTCGAGCTGTGTGCACGCACGGTATGTGCTATGGAATTGATTTCGTTGATAGGTATCCAAGGGAGAATTACCAAAAAAAGTTATAAACCCATTGCAATTATGTTAATTCAGTCCTAAATTTTTTTTTTTGGCTAATTGAGTTCTAAACATTTTGTACTTGTGCAATTCAGTCCATCCGGCTAATTTTGACTGGAAATCGCTAACGTGGACGTCAGCTGTCCTACGTGGTACGGCCGACACTGACATGGACATTTTTAAATAATATTTTAATAAATTTTCAAAAAAAATTTCTTTTTCCTTTTTTTCTTTTCTTTCTCTTTCTTTCTCTTTCTTCCCTTCTTCCTCTAGCCGGTTGTCGAACCTCAGCGATCGGCCAGACGCGAGGCTCGGTGAGGCTCAATCTCACCATCGACGAGCGAGGAGTGACCTTGCCGAAGAAAAGAAAAGAAAAGAAAAGAATAAATATATAAAAAGTTCAAAAAGTTATTGAAATATTACTTTAAAATGTCAACTTTAGCACCACTTAGGACGACGGGTGTCAATATTAGCAATTTTCGATCAAAACTGGCCGAATTGACTGAATTAGCACAAATACAAAAGGTTTCAAACTCAATTGGCTAAAAAAAAATTTATGATTAAATTAACAATTACAATAGATTTATGATTTTTTTGTAATTTTTCCGATATCAAACATGACGAGCATCGTTATGGCGGCAGATGTAGAACTTTAAAGTCAAGAGGGCGAGATAAAAAAGAATGTCATAATTCTAAACTCAAAATAAAATAAAAAAACTACAGGCATAAATGTTATTAACTTATTTATAAGATATGATACCCATCCTTGTCAAAGAAACAGCGAACTTTCTTTACGCGCATGAAATGCCTCACCCGTTGGAGCTACTTAATTTCCCCATATACTATGTTTTTAATACTAATTAATTTAATGAATTATCATGGTGGGGTAGTTGCTCTTTCCACATCTTGCTAATTCCACATATTCATTGTCAAAAGCAATTTAACTTAATTAAAAAAAATGTCTAACCCATGTCAAGAGATCTTGCCCCCTACTCAAAGGAAGGAAAAAGAAAAGTTCATATTAAATAATAATGAGAACATCACTACCAGTCTGACTTGGTAGGGTTTGGAACTTAGCGATTCACCCTTATCTATGTGTCTGGCTATGCCGGCCGTGCTTGGGGAACTAAAACAAGTCGAATGAATTCAACTTGTTACATCAATGACCATTTCTTTGGTCATTCCTTCTGGTCATCCCATGCCTACTTCACCTTTTTATTTAAAGGGTGGGTAGCTCCTCTCAACAAGCCCTCTCCCCTCTCCCACTCTCTAAGTTATAGCTAGTTTGCTGGTTTGCTGGTTTGCTTTTGCTTCTGGCAGTCCAATTCCAGTATTGATGCTGCAAGGAGGATTTGAAGTGGTGAATAGGGCTCTTGACATGACGCCACCCCATGAATTGTGGGACTCTAGTGGGTTCTCTAACCTGGCTTCGGCCCGCTGCGCAGGCTCGGAGCAGAATGAGCTCTCCGAGTGGGTGGAACAGGTCACCAAGCAGCTCATTGACGACTTGCCCGAGACGCCCGGCACGGGTGCTGACAGGGGCTTCCACGCCAACTCGGAGATGGCGTCGGAGGATTGCATCCCATCGATCCTCGGCGACTTGAGGTCGAGCAAGGCTCTAAGGTCGAATGTTATCCATCAGCACCTTGAGAGCAATGGCAACTCGATTCATTGGGGCAACGAAGTAGGCCCTAGTGATAGCAATGGCCTTGGCCTACTAACGCTCCTCCTTGAGTGTGCTGTGGCTATTTCTGTGGACAACTTGGGTGAGGCACATAGAATGTTGCTTGAGCTGACCCAAATGGCCTCGCCGTACGGCCCCTCGTGTGCCGAGAGGATCGTCGCCTACTTCGCCAAGGCGATGTCCAGCCGGGTCATCAACGCGTGGCTCGGCATTTGCTCGCCCCTAGTTGACTACAAGAGCGTCCACTCCGCGTTCCAGGTCTTCAACAACGTCTCGCCCTTTGTCAAGTTCGCGCATTTCACCTCCAACCAGGCCATCCTCGAAGCCTTCCACCGCTGCGATCGAGTCCACATTATCGACCTCGACATAATGCAAGGCCTGCAGTGGCCGGCCCTCTTCCACATCCTGGCCACGCGCATCGAGGGGCCACCACACGTGCGGATGACTGGGATGGGCGCTTCAATGGAGCTCCTTGTTGAGACGGGAAGGCAGCTCTCGAACTTCGCCAAGCGGCTCGGGATGTCCTTTGAGTTCCACCCAGTCACAGGGAAGTTCGGGGAGATCGCCGACCTCCCATACTTAGTGCAACTCCGGCGGGGCGAGACCCTTGCTGTGCACTGGCTCCAGCATTCCCTCTATGACGCGACAGGGCCCGACTGGAAGATGATGAGGCTGCTTGAGGAGATGGCCCCGCGCGTGATCACGCTGGTGGAGCAGGATGTCTCGCACGGGGGGTCGTTCCTGGACCGCTTCGTCGGGTCGCTCCACTACTACTCAACCCTCTTCGACTCCCTCGGCGCATGCCTGCCGTGCGATGACCCTAGCCGGCACCGGGTCGAGGACGGGCTCATGCACCGGGAGATCAACAACATACTGGCGATCGGCGGGCCCGGGCGGAGCGGGGAGGACAAGTTCAGGAGCTGGAGGAGCGAATTGCAGGGAAGAAGTGGGAGCTTCATGCAAATCCCCATGAGCGCCAACTCGATGGCTCAAGCGCAGCTGATACTGAACATGTTCCCTCCTACTCAGGGGTATAGCCTTGTGCAAGGCGATGGAACACTTAGGCTTGGTTGGAAGGACACAAGCTTGTACACTGCCTCTGCTTGGACTTCAATTGCTCATCATCATAGATAGATGGAGCATTAGGTTGAAAGTTTTAACTCTTGATCATCGTGATACATACTCGATCTCAAGCTTATTTAATTAGGAAGTGTTCTGATTAGTTGTGATCTCTCTTCCCTCTGATGGGTGTGTTGGCATTTCGAGTGCTTATTAATTGCGTTGGAGTTTTGAGAGTTTGAAAGGTTGGTTTAGACTAATAGGTAGGGAACAAATGATAATCCCCCCCGCCCCTAATTACAGTATTACCTATGTGAATGATTAAGATTTCTTGTGCCTTAACGTTCAAGAGATATAAGTACATATGTTCTCCGAGAGATATAATTAATCCCTGTTACGTGAACAAAATTCCAGAGTAAATTAAGAGTATGTTTATTTTACGGAAAATTAATTGAAAATGTTTTCCTTATCAACAACAGTCTATGCTACGATGAAAAAATTTGTCATTAGTTCATTTTTGGAATCAATAGAACTATCATATTTTTAAAAATACATATTTGTCAGATTATTAATTTTCCGCCAGATAAATGCACCATAATATACAAAAAAATGCACCATAAAATTGATTTTCCTCCTCACTCTCTCTTGGCGAATAAATTCTTTAATAAGTATTGGTTTTAATATATATATATATATATATATATTTATATATATAGCATCCTTACGCTCAAGATTTACAAGAATGTTGCATGAATGTAGTTTTCTTGGACAATTTTGGGTTGATCATTCTCGGTATGATATCATAACCAAATTACACTTCCTAATGCCATAAATGACAAAAGGGTGTTAAAAGCATCTCAAATGTATAACTATCTTAATCATTATTAGGACTATTATCAATGTAAAAAAAAAAAGTACACATATATCACTGGACGAGCAACATGTGTACAATGAGTTGGTTTCGTAATTGGGTTCTTCCATGTATCAATCATCCAATGATAGATATGTAAATCATTCTTTATATTGTCACTGACCCTCACAAAAATCTTAATTTTATACATCGGTCCGTCCTTTTTTTTTAGTATCTTGGACATTTCTCTTCCAATGTGACTAGATCCCACCAATTTCATTTTTCTTTCCCTTTATACCCATCACTTACTGATTTTCCTCTGCTTGATCTCTCTCCTCAAAAGTGTTCTTGCTGCTCTGCTAGCTAATCAATGGAGGCCGTCGGGCGCTTAAAATAATCATATCGCATGCTGGAATTGACTCATATCTGGCTAAGTCGAAATCCGACATAACTCCAAACGAAAGGACGCATTGCTCACGCTCGAGGAGCAACAATCCCTAGACAACGCCAAGCCAACTTAAACACGGTTGGCTCCACGGGAGGGAGCACACCCGTCCGCCACGTGGCTGCTCCTCCGTCGGCAACCCCTTTTGAGCTGTCTGCATATTCTTCTTTTGTCATGTCATCTTCTGGTTTGAGAATATACCCTCAGGTGCTAATCGTTTCGATTCCTCTTTGTGAATTTGATGAAGAAAACCCTAATCAGAAAAGGAGCACGGAACTTGTAATAATATGACCTTATCTTAAAATATGGCCTAGGCATTCCGGCATAAGATTGAAATTATGTAATAATAGTTATTATTTAGCGCTAACTAATGCGTATCGCGAAACGTGACTAATCCGATGATTGAGTACTTTCGAGGAAGACCATCGTATGCAAAATATGCAAAAAAAACAAGGTCGCGATTCTCTCCGATTTTTCGCTTGTTAATTTATACCCTCGAATATCATCGTTAACAAAAAAGAAGGGCAATAAAAATATATTTATAAGAGATTTGCATGTCGGAAATAATTGATGAAATATATTTTTATTTCGAAAAGAATTAAGAGGGTTCCAATTCAGATTTACAAAAGTTAATTGTCGAGTAAGATGGCATGCTGTGTGCGCGTGGGTGCAAAAATAGGTTAGGCCAGCGAAAATGTAGTGAGTTCTAGAGAGCATTTCGAGTTGTTTCGTTTCCCTAGAATTGCGATCCGCTTCTAATTGAGGTGTCCTAACAATCCCTACTTTCGCATGCCAATGGTAATTAAGTTAAAACCAAGTGCTCTTCCCTCAAATTAGCAAATTCTATTGTCTAAGTTCTTCCCTTCTTCTTCTCAACGCCCCTGTCAACCACATAATTTCTCCGGAAAAAGAAAAAATACAAGAATTTCAAGACTTTCTCTCTCTATCTCCCTTCTCTCTCTCTCTCTCTCTCTCTCTCTCATTCCTTCGTCTTTTCTAGTTACTGTACCATAAGTCCGAGGGATTCATCAGGTTTCTTCAAAACCTGATCAAGAGATTGACAGTATTATGTGCATGTATTGCATTGTGTTGAGCTCTTTTTCTTCTTTCTTTTTCTTCAGAGCTTGGGCATCTGTGGATGGATTGTGTTGATGCTTTGATACAATAATCATCCCTTTTGAGCCAGAGATCAGTTTCTTTGTCGCTTGTTATCGATCTTGTTCAGCATTGGAGTCACGCCCCATGTCAACCAAAATGAAGGGCCTCTTGAAAGGCCTGAGGTACATCTCCCAAATATTTGGTACATCTCTCTCTCTCTCTCTCTCTCTCTCTCTCTCTCTCTCTCTCTCGTTCTTCATGGAAAATTTATTAGGTAGACTCGTTGATAGACCTGTTTGATCATTGCATACGACGTGAAGTCGGTCGTGTTTTTCGTTGTCTTTTCTGGGTTTTTCGGGGGGTGATGTATGTCATACAACGTGTTGGATCGAGGAAGCTAAATTTGATTAGTGATGATGTGCAGAGAATGAGAAGCAGCAGGAAATGGAGATAGGGTTTCCCACAGATGTAAAGCATGTGGCTCACATAGGGTGGGACGGTCCCTCTGTTACTTCTCCGAGCTGGGTATTCTTCTTCTTTCTTATGGTATTCCACGATCGATCGGGTGGACGGACGGCTTCGTCATCTTAGATAATCCAAAACCTTTTCCATCAAATGATAAACGAAATTAAACCTAAGTCAACGGAAGTTTTGCTTCGCACCTTTGGTTGGATGTCGCGACAAAGATCTTTCTTCGTCGCCTTTGGTCAGGATTTAAGGCCGCAGATTTTTCTCTCGTCGCCGCTTTGGTCAAACATAAGGCGACAAATCTTTTGTCACCCTCAGGAAACGAAAGCAAATTTTGCCGTCTTAGTGGACTGTTTTCTGTCGCATATTTGCCCGTGCTGTTGTAGTACTTGTTAAACAGAATAAGTATAGTCCATACGATAATCCACAGAAAGCGTGAAGGCCACAAGTTTGAGACTTCGTGCCGCTTGAATGTGCAGATGAATGAGTTCAGAACAACGCCGGGGTTTTCCTCAGCTCCTTTAGGTCTCCCCGGAGATACGAATGGCGACAGTTCTGTCCGGTCGGTAGTTTCTGAAGGTACGACGATTCTACATTCGATCATACTTTGCTCAGACATCAAATGTCATACTTTCAGAAGACTCAAAACTTTGTAATGCGAGTCAACAGTAGAGATATTACCCTACATTGCTTTTGCAATGTGCTTCTCATCATATGATTTCTCTTGATTTTAGCCTTAAGCTGTTCAGAGGCTGACTTTATTGACCTTGGCTTCCAGGTTCGAGTCGACGAGGGGCCCAAACCCCAACCTTTCCGAGTTCCCCGGCCCGTGACTTGCCGGAACTGCCCAAATCCTCGAGACGGCACTCGACCGGCAGTTCAACCGATTCCCCCACCAAATCTAGATCGGACAAGTCATCGAGAGGGCCCAGGCGGGCCTCGAAAGGCTCCGCGAGGGACACGGCCGACCCCCTGCGGAAACTCCAGGACTCGAGCCTCGGGGCCGGGCCCGAGTCTCCGAGGAAGAGCAAGTTGCCCGACATCCCGAAGAAGTCCCGGAGAAAGAAGTCCAAGGACTCCTCCATGGGCGGGTCCTCCAGGTCGTCGAGGTCGAAAGCCCAAGCCCAGGCCGAGGCCCAGCTCCCGACCTACGAAGCTCCCTTCTCGGATCCCGGCTCCGGGACCGTGTCCATGTTCAAAAACATGGATCTTCATCGGACCTCCGATTTGGGGTCTTCTAGAGAGGGGGTCGCTAAGGAAATTTAGAGAGTTCTAAAGTTTAATTGGTAGAGGCTAATTTTTGGCCGAGTGCAAGAAGCGAAATCTTCTTTCTTCGTTTTTTTTACCTCTCATTTCTGTTTATCTTTTCTCGAGATCAATTGATGATTTGTGAAGCCTCTGTTTAATTTTGCCTTCGGAATCAAATGAACAATCAAACCTCAAGTTCTTATCCGCGCATTATCGATTCCCGACGGAGCACGAGAAAGCAAATCGAACAAGTTATAGATTCATATCAAGAGAAATCTAAACCCGAACCACGCGAGCACAACTGGACTAACTTTGATCAAATGTACAATCGGGCCATTTTGAAGTCCGGCCCATCCGGGCCCATGGTTGACTTTTGCTGGGAGTCAACGTCTCAACCTCCGCATATCAAGTAGTGTTTGGTTGACTTCTTATCTACGGGCCGTTTGGTTCGACTTGGGGAAATGCCTTTGGCAAAATGCAAAGGCCTTTAGGCTAAAGAGGTTTTTCGAAATGCAAGTAATATTTAGTAAGTATATTTTAAAGTCACATTTAAACGTAACTTTGACCTAAATATCGTTTGATAAAAACTATATTTTATAAATGACTTTTGTTGATATTTAAAATAAAATAAAAAAGCTCAAGGTGGAGCTCAACTGCCAGCCAACCGGCCAAATCTGGTCGCCTGCCAGCCTCGCCTGACCTCAAACGAGGTGCCTTGAGGTCGCGAGACCTCAAGCGTCGCCTGGGTCGCACAACCTCAACGACCACCGCCTAAAGGCTAGCGCGACCCCGGTGATCGCTACCTGGGGATCGCGCCCTCGGGTGGCGATCGTTGGCCGCCAGATCTGCTGCTTAGAGAAGATGAATAGTGCTATGAACAGTAAATTTGCATTTCGAAAATGTAATTTGCCAAAGTACCTCCAGACCCCCTTAGAGCTAAAGACCTTTAAAAAGTCCTTTGGAAATGCAAATACATTTTTCCAAAGTGCTCCAAAAAATTGGCAAACGCATTTGCATTTGGCCAAAGGAGGTTGGAGTCCTAATGCTCATTTGAAATGATGAAGCAAATGGGGCCCTATTCGTTCCCACGCTGTCCCCCAGAAAAGCCTCTCTCTCTCTCTCTCTCTCTAAGCTTGCTTTCCTTCACCTTCGTCTCCTTCTGCGCACTCGCTGGAACTAGGGTTTCGGGATGATGTGAAGTTCGAGGATTGTCCAGTAACACGTGAGGCGGGGCTGGTGCAAGAGGCGACGGGAGATGAGCCGGCCGTCGGTGCACCCGGTGGAGGCGCCGCCGGCGACGAACGGAGGTGCTCAGAACCACGGGCCGAGGGTCCGGATGAAGGACGTCCAGGGGATGCCGGGGACTCGCGGCGGCCTCGTGCTTCGGCTCTGCCAGTTCGTGTTCGCCGTGATCTCGCTCTGCGTCATGGTCACCACCAGCGACTTCCCTTCCGTCACCGCATTCCGGTAATGATTCGCCATCGGCTTCCTTGGGGCGATCTTCCGATTGGCTTTGAAAAGGAAAAGAACTCGGAGTGGCGAGGTTGATCGATGTGCGATTTTGTCGATTTAGGTTGTATGTCTTGATTCGTCGCCTTGATGGAGGTTTTGGCCGATCGTGGTTTACGGATGAGTGTCGGAAATTTAGGCGTTTGGTCGAATTAGGAGTGGAATATAGTTTGAATTGTTTGACATTATATGACTGAGCGTGAGACTGTGAACAATGAGAGTGAAATTGTGATGTAGAAGATGCTTTGGATCAAGCAATTTTAACATGTCTCTAGCAGGAGCTTGTCTAAAACTTTGTTTTTTTCCTTTGTTAGTATTTGTCTGATTATTGGGTGGAGCTAATGTTTCCGGTAGATAATCAGTGATTGCATTCAAGCTTTTACTTTTTGGCTAAATCGTATCAGAAGTTGAGTGAGCAGAGAAAGAAGAAACTTCTATGCGATTTGACATGCCTCAGTTGGGAATTTGTTTAGCTTCTTTGTTAGGACATCATGTGTGTGTTCGTCGGCTGGAGCCTGGAGCTGAATTTTTCTTGTGAAAGAATTCATAAATGGTGATTACATCAGAATTTTTATGAGTAAAGTTCCGCATATGTGCAATGCAGTAAGCTTTGTGCTCAGTTTGCTTTCTTGTGAGCTTATTCTTTTCTTTTGGGTTCTTATCAGTGGTTGCAAAAAGCTTTTCATCATGAGGGTTTTAGCCAACATAGTTTCACATTGCATGTGGTCTTCCACTTCAGTCTAAGTCCATGTGCTAGAATTTGTGGATCCTATTCAAAGCCTTTTTTTTCCCTATTCGGTGCTTTGGTTAGGTTCGTTTTTTATGTGAAGATTTACTTCAAAACAGCTTGTAGATTAGCAGTTTCAAATATGGTTGGCAGTGTTGGGTAAACATTAATGTGGTTAGATTAGTCAGTAGAGTCACGAGCACAGCCACGATAGAACACAATGGAGTCTGCTCTGGTGGAGGGCATGCTGGAGGAGATAGCATTGTCAAATTGTTTTCTAATTGAGAACGAGCCAAGACACGTTTTAATTCAATAGCAATGAGAATATGTTAAGAGTTCTACATCTTAACTTCTTGAAGACATATTTAGATAGCAAATGAAGTTAATGCAGATGCTTACTGATCTTTACTTTATCAGCTACCTGGTTGCTGCTGTTAGCCTTCAATGTTTGTGGAGCATGTCGATGGCACTTGTTGATATATATGCTCTCTTGGTGAAGCGAAGCTTGCGTAACTGCAGAGTTGTTAGCCTGTTCACCATTGGCGATGGGGTAAGAGAGATGCATCCTTGGTCCATTACAAGTACAACATCCAATAGTTTGTCTTGGTATTATTATGGAAATTGTGTGTTAAAAATAGTCGCCCTAAAAAAAGTTGCATGAACCTACAAAAGAGAATATCTCAATGCCTTAGGGCACTCCACTTGTGAGTGCATTTTTGATGGACTGGCGGCATTGGTCTTTTAACCATGCCGGGATTATATGAACTATTGGACCGTGTCCTTCAAGTTATTTCCATTTCGAAGTAGAGATTCGTTTGTTTTATTTTTGGTCGAAGAGATTCATTTGCTGAACTAGTTCGTTTCTCTGTACAGATTGCATCGACCCTTACATTTGCTGCTGCCAGTGCATCGGCTGGCATCACAGTCCTTATCGGCAATGATCTTAACAAATGTGCGGTGAATCACTGCAACAGATTCGAGAGCGCTACAGCAATGGCATTTATCAGTTGGTTTGTGGCATCGCCATCCTTTCTCTTCAACTTCTGGTCATTGGCTTCCCAGTAAATATCTGCCAACAGAACACTTCTTGAGACAACTTCAAGTCTTTCTTCCAAGCCCCATATAATTCTCTTTCCTGCGCCATTATTGGCTCTCTTTGCTTCTGATCTGTATATAAAAGGAATTTTGCTTTGAGTTTAATGAAGCGTTTGCCTTTGAGATTGCAATACCAATTTCATTTGCAGAAAGAGGTCGATTCGTTCTGCGGGTTTTCCTTTCTCCAGTCTTTCGGTTTGCAATGCGGCTCATTGTTTTTGTACATGTAAGATGTACAATCATTTCGGCAGTTAATAGTCAGCAAATTAGCGATGACCTGATGTGAGATGTGACATATTTGACGTCAATTTGCTGCATCATTTTGCAATGAAGACCTTCCTTCCCTTTTCTTTTACTCATGTTCATTGGCTTTTTATTAGCTTCATCAGAAAGAAAGTTAAGGCTGAAGCACTTGATGGTTGTGTCAATACTAAAGCATGCTCGTGGTAGGAGATTGTAGCTCCTACCTGAAGGCAATTTTGCCCCGATTAAAGATGCAAGAAGGTGAGAGAGCGAGTCTTTAAGTAATACTTCTAATGCGAAACACCTTGCATAATCAATACTAAACGGAATTTTAACTACTCGTTGGTACAATACGTATTTTTGCTGAACATATTGGATTACTCATAGAAACTAATGGAAATGAGGATGCCTTGCGTACTAATGCCCAGTGTTCCAAACACAAAGCGGAAGACGAGCTCCAACAGAAGAATGCATTTTCTAACTAATGTGAATAATCCTTGAAACATCATACACTGTCCCAAAGAAGGACGAAATTTCATAGTGTAATGCAAGATGGATGATAAAAATGGATGATCAATACGACAAACCAAATATACACGCAGAGGGTGAGACTCTTAATGGATTCTGATAAGACAATGGTATAATCTCGGGGATGATAGCAGCAACAAGTAAGCTTCTCTCGAAAACCACCAACTTGTGAAACTATCGCTTCCGTGAGTTCATTCTGCTACCAAGGTCAGCTCGCTCATCAACCGATTGATATCTCTCGGCTACAGATGCATCAACCATCAGAATTCACACTTTGATATCTGTTCAACTTAACCTAGTACGGTACCGTTTGTCATTGGTTAACGTCTCTTGATCTGCACTTCAACTTCTCAATTTCGAGCTCATGTTTTACTGCTTCCACTTGCTTGAGTAACGCCAACTTTTCCTGTAAAAGATTGACTTTACAAAGTGAAAAACTTATCTCGAGGGAAAGCCAAATAACATGGATTTGTGGCATGGAAGTTTTCTTATCCTCCATTAGCTTGCCTCGGTACATGACTTTTTCCACATTCAACAAACAATCACTTTCCATTATCTTTCAAGAGCAAATAGGCATGAAACTGTTATGCTGCATACAGATCTGAAATCTAGTTGTCACAAAATAGAAAAACTCAGGAACTGAATTATCTGCTGATGGGATAATATGGGAATATGATGCCAATTAACATGACGGGTAGAGCGTCACCTTTTGTAACATGACCAATTTTGAGTTACTGAGAGCAGAATTTCCCGCCTTGTTCGAAAGAGACTCTTTAAGCTGTCAAAAAGAAATCATTGAACCCATGAGACATGTAGGCTTAAGTATACTTTGACTAAACTTCTACTTGGGAAACAGATGCAGAGTCAGAAACACTGCTCAAGCTTCAGTATGTAATCGTGCACTTGAATATTGAGAGTCGATTTTCTTTTTCTTTTTCTCTTGTTCTTTTTTGATGCAACACATATCAACTACCATAACATCAGCAAGTAGCACATAACTACTCCTTTTTCACAGTGCAGGTTTGGGTAGAATAGAATGTTATCTGCATCTCATTGGGCTTGTGCTAAGTATGTAGGTTAATTTAGACAAAACATGAAATTATCCAAATGACAGTATATGCTTCATTCAATTATGTAGGCAGTTCTAGGCACTGCAGGTCCTAACAGAATAGAAATCCAAAAATTGCATGGTCGTCTAAAGAAGAACATGGAGTTCGGAACAATAAGAATGTGATAAGGTCTAATAACGAATTAGTGGCATTCCATGGACCAATACTCATTGAGAGGATCCAAAAATTTCAAGAGAACTAATTACGTGCGCAAGCTCAGTAAATGGCACAGAGCTAATCTTTTTCCTAGAATGCGGGAATGATTCATCCCTACTAGAAAATGTCTGCAAACTATGAACACTTCAAGAATTGATTGCAGGAGTCAATGCAAAACTTGTATGTGAAAAATAATCATTAAAGGTTGGATGCGTAACAGAGGACAGAGAAGAGATGTGAAGAAAGCACGAGTTGTTGAGCACGGTTCTTGATGCTAAATTGAAGGGTGATCAAGAAGGAGCATACCTCTCTAAGTTCCGCTTCGCACGTGTTCGCCCTCTCTAATTCTTCATCGTACTTCAGCCTCCATTCTGCGGACTCATCCATCGCCTCCCGGTTCGCGAGATCGAACTGTTTTCTAGAGAGAGTCGATAAAAGCACAAACGTTATCAATGCCGCCACCAAGTTAATCTCGGTTCTCACCTAATGAGAGAAGCTCGAAGGAATTTAACAAAGAAATGGAAAACCAGAACCAATCCAAGAAAGGATTGTAGCAACAATTCGAATGGATAGACTCCCCCCCAACCACATCTTGATCTAACTCTACTGCGAAATGGCATTACGTGCATCGCAAAAAGATAGCGGGTTTTCCGACATGTCGCGAGACCGATTCACGCCCGAAACTCTGAAGACCACAAATCACGCGAGGAACGGGAGACAACTAGACAACATCATCTGAGAACAAAGCTTAAAAAGGGGGGTTTTTCCTGTCGGGAATTTTTAACGGGAAGACGAACAATACATCAACGCAGCAATTCGGACGCATCATCCCTGTTAAATCCAAACTTCGACAGAACATCTTGCGATCATCGTCACAACGACCGCCCCGAAGGAATCGAACTGGAATAACAAACGCGAATGCCGTCTCTTTTGACAGTTGCGAGCTCCATCGGAGTTAACGGATTTCTTGGATCGAGAGGGAGCTCGTACTGGAACGAAGCAGAAGTTCATGAGAGAAAGAACAAGAAGAACCTGAGCAATTCAGTGTCGCCGGCGGAGACGGAGTAGTCGATGGACCAAAGCCGGAGGTACACGGCCACTCCGAGCGCCATGGCCACCACCAATCCCAGCACCACCGGCCTCCTCCTCCCCATCTCTCTCTCCGTCTCCGTCTACCGGAATCGGCGTCAGAGCTCGAAGTCTCGATGATGCGCCGCCGCCGCCGCCGCCGCCGACCGACCGACGTGGGGGTTGAGGCGAACGGAGGCGATCGGACGAGCTCCGCCCCCACTTTGCAGTTGCCGGGTCAGGAGGACTCAGGAGTGGGTCGCGGACCCGACGACTCTTTTTTTTATAATTTTTTTTGGTCGAAATTGTTGTCAATTGGAATACCTCAATTTTTCCAAATTTTTCAAAAGTAGCTCCGTATGATTTTTGCCGAGGTATTTACATAAAAATGTGAATACGATGGCATGGACAGCTATATTATTTAGTTTTTTAAATCTCGACATTTGGAATTTTTTTCTCTTTCTTTTTTTGCGTCGGTTATTCATCTTCTTCTTTTTTTCTTCCTTTTTTTTTTTATTTTACAGTTGAATCTGCAAAAAACGAGACTTCCAATTTTTCAACGACGTGGAAGTTCAACTCCCGCTGTCGTCCAACCGTGCCTTTTCTTTGAGCCGACCTGTAACAAGGGTTACGGCTCAGATAGATCTAGCACTCCAAATCTGGAGGCAATGACCCTTCCATGGCCGTCGAGCTTTTATGTCATGGTCGAGATCTTGGCAGCCATTGGATGAACCATCTAGCTCAAATCAACTAGAGCGGCCGAAGCGGCCATGGTTTTGTTCAAGGGTGAGCTATCTCGATCGTGGCGTTAAAGGGTGGCGATGGCCACTTGCGGTGACAATGACTTCAATTTAAAAAATATTTATTGCAAACCGTTACAATATTGAGAGAGAGAGGGGGATAGTTTATGCCGACCATCTTGACCATCCATTTTATAAGTTGATGTGGTATCATCCAAGAATGATACGTAAAAATACATCGTGGAATATTTTGACGGCATTAGTGCCGTATCAACATTTTCCATCTCTAAACATAATGAAAATGCTACGTCGAGTCAAATTTTAAAAGTCGAGGCACTTAATTGGAAAAAAAAAAAGATAGTTCGGGTGCTCGATGGAAGACCGATAATAGTTCGGGTACTGGATGGAAGACCGGCAATAGTTACGACAGCCGAAATTAGAAAGAACACATATCAACACACTTTAAAAAGGTGAGCGATCATACAATTGGAGAAAGTCGCGTACACAATCTTATAGATCATTCTACCTATCGCAATCAAAGGTAAGAAAGATATTAGTTTGGCATCAATTTCTGCAACTTTGTTCGTCCGCACTGAACCAAAGACAGCAGAGAAATACTTTTATGTGTTCTACTGCAAAAAAGAACTGGTCGAAGAAGATGGCCCGCAGCTTTCCGACACCTACCCAACATTCTCCTTCGCAATCACTACCACCTTCCCCTCCTCCTCTTCTTCTTCGCTTCTGTTCTTTCTTTTCCTGTTTTTCCGACGCTTTGCTTTGCCTTCTTGTCTCTGTGTTGCAAGAAGAAGAAAGAAGAGCCTGTTGAATCTAAAGGACTCGAGATCATGAACATACAAAAGGGCATGGAAAAAGTGATAAGAGTCGCAACTTCAGAATCACACACGAAAGAGTCCACCTCTGGTTGACAGCACCAAGAGAGCGACTCTCATTATCTCATATGGCCTTTACGAAAATCCTTTGGGTAGATATAGAAGACCAAGTTTTAAGTAATCAGCTTTTAGTCTGTAAATCCAACGGACTTCCAAATGGCATCCCTCACCCTTCTCAGATCTCTGCCTTTCAGCGTCCTCCCAATCCCTTCGTGCACCGACAGCGAAGCCCCTCTCCTCCTTGCCAAGTACTCGTGAGGCGGAACCCTACTCTCTCGGTCGTCCTCGCCCTCGTCGTCGCTCTCAACTCTTCCTCCACCGTCGGCATGGTCGGGCGTCATATTAATCTTCGACCAATCCGGTATGTTGACAGGCAATGACGCCGCCGCAGGCTTCGGGTCGGACGAAATGTCGGCCCTTCTGGGCGGTCTTCTCGGTGCGCACGAACCGGGCGTCGCCACTCCGTTGCTGCGGATCGTTTCGAACGAGGGGACCCGAGCAACATCGCCGTTGCTCCAGACATCGGCCTCATCGAACTCGAACGGCATGTCGTCGTCGTAAGCATCTGAATAGGCAGCGGAGTGGTCGGAGGGCGGGTAGATGTGAGTGGGTCTTGCACGAGGAGTCCTTCTGGGGGCAGCCATTGTTTGTTGGTCAGGCTCTTTCTACGATAATGTGCGCTGCTCTACATCTGCGTGCTCGCGTTGCCCTTTTATAATGCGCGAATGGATAAGCCCTCTCGATCGAAATGGACAGCATGAGACGCACTTACTGAACAGTGAGCGAGGCCGGCGAGTCGATCCTTCCCCCCCCAAAATACAAAACATTATCTATTGATTCGATTCGACAGCGCGTCTCGGCGAAGAACAGATGGGTCGCAGCATACGTGGTCGGTCTCGATAGGCACGAAACGCACGCAACCAGGGCTCCTTCTCCAATCTCAATCGCGTAATTCCATTTTACGTGGAGACAAGTGTCGCGCGATTGCTTTGTCCCTCTCGTCCGTTCCTGCTTTGAGTCGTCGACGTGGAAGGGATATCTCCAAAATTCTACTTAGCCTGTAGTGAAGCCAATGGGCCCCCAAAGGTGTGGCGAACGTATCCAATCTCGAATCACAAATAAGTTAGGCCGATTGGTGAGATTTACGGGATGCTTCATGAATTTTCAAATAATCCAATCTTTGCCATTACTTTTTGAAAACCAAACATATGGAGATAAAGTGGACGTGTATGACAATCTTGCAGATGACAAATAGTTAAACTCGACATATCTTAAAATGATTGGATCTAAATATGTCGTGCAGCCATTGGTCATGAGTATGCGATCCTGGGATATATCCTCAGCTACGACGAAGTTTGGAGTGGTAGCTCTCAATGGGTTATGTCAATACGGCAGAAATGCAATAAGAGAAAACCCCGAATTCGACACAATATGACTTGATTCAAAATTGACGTGTCTTCATGAAAAACCACTTTGCAACTAAACTGAAATCATTTCATATCGACACTGAAGCGACGCAGATGATCGACAAGAATGCTCACGAAAACACGAATTGTCGGCTCTTCCCGAAAGCCCGAAAATCGGGCCGTCGGACAAATATGTCCAGAGAGAGAGAGAGAGAAGTCATAGGGCCGAGAATTTGACGGGATGAAGATGGGCCGACCCATTTTCATCTCTGTCGGCCCATCATAAGCCCACGATCCCAGTTCGGCCCAAAATCACCGCAGCCGAGGACAATTACGTCATTTTCCCGCTCCACGCAAAAACCCTAGCGAGTATATATCACTCCTAGAAGCATCTCGCTCTCTTCCCTCTCGCTGAGCGCCTCCTCACCGACGAAAGCAAACCTCTCTCTGCGGAAACCCTAATCCCAACCCTCGCCGCCGAATCCCACCCGCCATGCCGCCGAAGTTCGATCCCACCCAGGTCGTCGACGTCTACGTCCGGGTCACCGGCGGCGAGGTCGGAGCCGCCAGCTCCCTGGCCCCGAAGATCGGTCCCCTGGGTCTCTCCCCCAAGAAGATCGGTGAGGACATCGCCAAGGAGACCGCCAAGGACTGGAAGGGCCTCCGCGTGACGGTGAAGCTCACGGTGCAGAACCGGCAGGCCAAGGTCTCCGTCGTGCCCTCCGCGGCGGCCCTCGTCATCAAGGCGCTCAAGGAGCCGGAGCGCGACCGGAAGAAGACGAAGAACATCAAGCACAGCGGGAACATCGCCCTCGACGACGTGATCGAGATCGCGAGGGTCATGAGGCCGAGGTCCATGGCCAAGGAGCTGAGCGGGACCGTGAAGGAGATCCTCGGCACCTGCGTCTCCGTCGGGTGCACGGTCGACGGTAAGGACCCGAAGGACTTGCAGGAGGAGATCTCCGACGGCGATGTCGAGATTCCCGAGAACTAGGTGCCCGAGAGGGAGACGGAGAGACGTTGAGAAGGTTCATTTTTGGCTTTGTTATGTTCAATGACGCTTTCAATTGTGCCTTCTGAGGTCATATTTAGTTTCTATAAAGAATCTGTTGGGGTTTCTGCTTATAATGTTGGTGACATTGAGTATGGTAAGGGATCTTGGGACGTGGAGTTTTTTAGGTTGTTTGATGATTTATTTCTCAATGCAATAGAATGTTTCATGTTTGACGGGGTTGGTTCGGCTTGAATGTTTCTCAACGCAATAGAATGTCTCATGTTTATTCCTGAAGGGAGATTTTGGTGCAGTTCCTGCTTATGTAGAGATGAGAAAGATGTTGGTGATTAAATTCTCGCGAGTGTTGAAATTATGGTGTGGATGTGTAATTGGTGGTCATCCCAGTGAGATTGGAAATTTTGGCATGGATGGTTAATTGACAGCGCTCATAGGTCAGACTAACTATTTGATGACAATGGCTGTGCGTTTTATATTTTAATTGGGTTTGATGTAGTTGTAAGGGACGTAAATGGATTGCTTATACACTTCAGGATTTCAAATTTGACCTTTTAGAACTTCAAGAAGCCAATGCCTTGTTAGAATTAGGGAGGGCAATTCAGTTGATTCGGTGATTGACATGGTTCTAGACATGGCCACGGTTCAGAACTGGCGGTTCCGGTTCGTGGCCATGTATGAACCGGAACCGGCGGTCCCGGGCCGGTTCCGGTTCCGGTTCCGGCCCAGTTCAGAACTGGCCGGTAAAAATTAAAAAAATAAATTATGAAATAAAAAAATAATGAATTATCAAATTATGAAATAATGAATTATTCTATATAAAATGTAATCAAAATGTTTTTTTATATTTTTTAATATTTGGAACCGGGCCCAGAACCGGCGGTTCCAGGTCGGTTCCAAAATTGTTGGAACCGGGCCCGAAGGCCACGGGCCGGTTCCGGTTCTGAACCGCAGGCCCGATCAACAGGTCAGTCCCGGTTTTGACTCAGGCCGGTTCCGGGCCGAAACCGGCCCGTGGCCAATGTCTACATGGTTCTGTATTTTTGTTAGTCAAGGAAGTTGTAGTAGTTCTTATTGGGTTCAATCGTGTGCCGTGATTCTTTAATGTACCCATTTTTGTTCGTTTGTGTTGACAGTCTGATCCCTGTTCATGTGAAAGACGTTTCCCATTGATATTAGTACTTACACATAAATGACACAAGGTTATCCAAGAAGTCAAATCATGTTAAAAAGGAGATAAACGCGAATTTAATGCTTTGAGCACGTCTATTCTGTATCTCGGTGATCGTCAGAAGTTTGATGTTCAGGTTGAGCTTATCTATTTCATGACTATGAACCCTAGAAAGTAATGCCAAAAAGGATTAATTCTTGATTTTGCACGTGTGCCTGGGACTCTGTTTTTGTTAAATTATGCAAATGGAAGCCTCCTGGTCCGGAATCTTTCTTCTGAGTCATATGCTAGTTGATGAAACTATGACATAGCGTATGTCTTGAGAGTTGCCGTTTCTGATCAGTTAAAGAATACTTGAGATTAGTCATGGCCACGGGTCGGTTTTGGCCCGGAACCGGCCCGGGTCAAACCCGGGACCGGCCCGTTGACCGGGCCCGCGGTTCGGAACCGGAACCGGCCTGTGGCCTATGGGCCCGGTTCCGGTTCAAAAAAAAAAAAAAAACTGCTGCACATTACATTGATCTCTCTCTCATGTGCTCTGCATCTTCTCCTTCTCCTTCTCCTTCTTCTTCTTCTCCTTCGCCCGCCCCCTGTCTTCCCGGATCTGCCCCCGTCGCCGTCGCCCCCGCCCATGGCCGCAGCCGCCGACGCCGACGCTCCCTCCTCCTTCCCCCTCGCTACCCTGCGCCTCCTCCCCTTTTCTCCTCCGCCCACCCCTCGTCTCCCCAGATCTGACCCCCGCCACCGCCGCCGCCCCCCATGGCCGCAGTTGCCGACGCCAACGCCCCCTCTTCCTCCCCTCCTCCCCGTCCCCGTCCCCGTCCCCCTCGCCGCCGCCCCCGTCTCCCGCTTCATCTCCTCGACGCCTTGAACCCCGCCTCCGCCACCGTGGCCAAGGCCGCGAAGCCCGAGCGACGACCGACGAAGGACCAGGCCTGCAATTTTTATTTTATAATTTATTTTATTAATTTTTAAATTACGAACCGGAACCGGAACTGGCCCGGAACCGCCGGTTCATATGTGGCCACGAACCAGAACCGGCGGTTCCTGAACCGTGGCCATGACTACTTGAGATCCTTGTGACGTGTGGTTAGTTCTTAGTAAAGCTCTTCTGCAAAATCAATCTCTCTCGGCTAGCTTTTATTGTCTGAGCTATTTGTTTGATTAATGCGTTATTTCGATCTATTACTCATAAGTTTGTAGCTATCACAAACTTTATCAACAGAATGACCTGTGATTAGCGATGGCATCTAGATGAAGTCTATTTTCAAGGTAAGAACATGTTTGGGAATGATTTTGCTGTTAATATAATCCCTACTTTTCGCTATTGGCTTGCCCTTCATCCTGTGTCTTTGTGCCACTCTGGAGCTATGCCTTTGCAAATTGTGGAATTCCTTCTATTATCAGATGATTTGATATTCTAGGTTTAAGGGGAAGCGATGGCTCGACCTTACTTTCTATTCGCGTCTTCAAGTGCGATGAAATACATCTTCTAATGTCCCTTTTATTGTTGGAAAGACCTGTTTCTCACTCGTAAGGTTCAGTGATTTTGCTAGCAGGAAAATCGCGGAGTGGATATTGTACATCACCTTCCGTGTACCGAAATTAGTACGAAAAAGACTTGTTTAGCCATAAAGTCAGTTTTCGAGTGAACAATGACACCGTGGGAGAATCTGGTGCTTAGACATACAGTCCAGTGTCGTCCCGGACGAGTATAGGAACGGATTTGTGATATCGAGCTTTGTCGACTCCGCGAACTCTATTTTAGCTGGTTTGCCCTTAATTGATGATTTGGCAACTTGTGAAACACCCTTCACTGAAGCTGTCTCGTTACAAGCTGGTAACTTTAAAACTTCTGATAACATTGGAAACACAAAAGGAGGAAAAGAAAGATGAAGAGCCGAAGCTGTCAATTTACAAATGTTCAGGACTACATGATATTGGAACACAGCCAAAAGAGAAGGAAGGAGAGAGAGAGAGAGAGAGAGAGGAACTAGGGAAGGATGATCGAAGACAAATAAGAAATTATGCTTCTCAATCATCTCCATCATTTGGCTTGCTTCTCGACCGTCTCTTTAACTTGGCCGTCTCCACTGCAAAATTGGCTTTTTGTTAATTTTTTGATGAGCAATCTCCCGGCCCACTGAAATTGTTGTTCGATAGGTTGAGATGGCTCGAGTGATGTTAGAGCGGATATGCTCTGAGGAATTTCCCCGGGCATTTGATTCTTCGAGAGGTCAAGAGACTCGAACGATATCTGGCTCCTGGTGAGAAGGGTACTCGATGAACTCAATCCTAGCAATATGACGAGCAAAAGGTAAGCTCTTTAGGGATTTCTCCGGTCAATCTATTTCTCGAACCAGTCTAGATATATAACAATTTCACGTTGACAACAGAAATTGTTACCGGGCTTTATATACGAGGAATAGACCCAGCCTTAAAAGGCACTACTTGGGGACAAAGAATGGCGTGAGCCAGGCTAGCACAAAGTAGACAATACCTTGAATGAAATGGGCTGCCTCACTTGTTGTTCACTTGTTGAATTACGGAACTGCATTGCTATTCGGAGTTGTGATTCAATTGCCAATGTCAAAAGCATGCATGGTATTGAGGAAAAAGTTTCGGGATGGTTGTTCCTTCCAATGGTTTAATATTTTGAATATCAAAGTCGTAAGCTTTAGGGCCTTGTCAGGTTCATACTTTTTGGTTCTCGACTAATTATCTACTTTGGAGTGTGTGACCAATGCATTTCCCACTACACTCCCTTTATAATGCATTATTTTCTTAAAATCATCCATCGCAATCACCAATTTCATGTAATTAACGAACGGCGACCGTGTCGTTTCCTATATTTTTAATATGTAATCCGGAGTACAACACATGTTGAATAACCAATTTAGCAATTTCTGTAACTTGCGTGGAAACTTCCGCTTCCCTTTTTCCAATGAAACCGAAATCCCACGCTCATTTTAGTCAAAGGCAACATGATTTCGATCCCTTTCTTTCTTCAATTATTGTCCATTGCTTTCCTCCCAATATCTCTCTAGTCTTTAGCAATTTCTGTAACTTGCTTGGAAACTTCCGCTTCCCTTTTTCCAATGAAACCGAAATCCCCACGCTCATTTTAGTCAAAGGCAACATGATTTCGATCCCTTTCTTTCTTCAATTATTGTCCATTGCTTTCCTCCCAATATCTCCGGGTGCGTTCCTCTTACGTGTCTCGCGTTCCAAGAAGCACTGTCGCTAAACGCTCTCTTGGTCGTCCACCTGGCCCTTTGGGCGTCCACTCAATTGAATAGCTCCGTCGATATTATTGGGGTGACCCTTCACGTCGCTCGCCTATATAACCCATCCCCATTTCCAATCTCCCCCAATCAGAAAGACCCTCTGATCTTTCCTCCAAGCCAAAGAGAGTCTTTCACAGAAAAGAAGCAAAAGAAAGCTTCTCCCCAGCTCAAAGTTTTCCTCGGGTCTCTCTTCTTCCCTTGGAGTTTGGAGGAGGAGAGCAACTCTGGTTTTCTTATCCCCAGCTCCATACTTCATCAAGATACATCGTCACAAGTCAGATCGGCCAAGGATAAGAGATGGCTGTGGTGATGAGGAATCTCAACTCTTGGATGGAGGTGGCCCCCGAGCCCGTCATCTACCCGCACAAGCCTTCCAACTCGCCGGGGCTCGAGACGATCCCGGAGGAGCGCGCCGAGGAGTCGGACGACGACCCGTGACTCTCGAGGCCGCTTCTCCCTCTCTCTCTCTCTCTTCCTAATACGACGAGGTTGCGGAGATGGAAGCGGAGTGCCATAGGTAGCTATGTGTAGTGTGGGTGTATGCTTGCGAAGGAAATGCATCTTTCCATGGGAGTGGCCTGTAAATTTTGTACATTACAAATGTGAATCTCCAATGTGAGAAAAATAAATCAATAAAAGAGTTAGTGAAATTTTTGGCTACGCGTTTCGAGCGCTGGCGTTCTGATATCCTGTTGGCCTTTTGATTCATGAACGTCGTGTCGTAGCGATCTTAATTTTGACTCCTCGTGTGTGTTTTC